CATCAGGCTGTTTCTCTCTCTCCTTTCTTTGTGTGGGGAGGGTAGTGGGTCTGTTATCTCTGCCAGGGTTGAGCTTCTGGGGCATGAATGATGTTGGAGAGTTTGGACAGTGTGTACTCATCATCTTGATTTTATTGCTCAGCCATGTCATTTTTTTCAGGTTTGTCATGACTTGTGTGGAATTTTTTAATGCCATCACACATGAAATGGAGAATACATAATTTACTGATTAGCTTGCAGCTTTTAAAGGGCCATTTCTGTCCCGTTAAAAAAAGACGGTCTTTATGGGAAATTCGTAGTGAATTGTTTCAGGCAGACTCGGTGTTGGTGAAATATGTTCACCTTCATCCAGTGATAAGGGGGGACTAATCACTGAAATTACTTAATGTAATATTTAATTGGTATATGTATCTTGTTTTGCCATATTTACCTTTTTAAAAGTATGTTATCATTGATTAGCCAATCAGTCACTTTGTATGGCAAATGAAAGGATTATTACATTAATATGAAAAATTTTAATAGAAAATACTGGGATATGTGTACCATTGCCTCTAGCTAGCTTTGGTTTAAAATGGAAACATTTTAGCACTCTGGCTGTTACGGTGCACCTTAAAATATCATACAGTTGTGTTAATGAGCTCTTTCTCATCACTTGCATTATAAGGATGGATTACCTCAGTGCTCTGTAATGAAGGACTGCTTTTTTTCATATGAGCAGAACAAAAAGAAATGGTACTGTGGCAAAGAAAAATGTCACTGTGAACTGAGTAAATGTACCTGGAATTTGCTTAATCGTCTTAAAACTGTAATAATGTTCAGTATCCTTCATTTCAGCACACTGGTCAGTGCCGTGGCTTAACACCAAGAGGGTTGAGAATGTCAGCGTACCCTGACCTGCTGGGGTCTTTGTCTGTGGAGCTGCTATGTTCCAATTTTAAGGGGAATTTTAACACTTCACTGCACCTCTCCTCATTAAGATACATTTTAGGGGATATTTTACCACAAAAGAAAAAAGTCAGTCATTTTAAATAATGGGGTGTCCATTGTCCTCTACTGTCTAATAAGTAAGTGTAGCTTGGAGTATTTTAATTTAATTCAAAAGTGCCCATACTGCTGTATCTGTAGAGATGCTGACTCAATAATTCCCAGATAATCCCATGGTACTTTGGTCTAGCCATGTAATTATATGCATTAGTCTCCTCCCATGTTGGCCTCTGGGTAGACAACATGTGCTGTGAATTATTGCTTTGTTTCATTGTTGGTTAGAGTGAATTTCCACAACCACCTCATCCTTTGTTAATCACAAGATAAATAAAAGTTATGTTCACATGTGTGCACATTAAGAGCTCTATATTTGTAGCACCTATAGATTACTTGGCCATTCATAGGTGGTCGTCTTGGCCCAAAAGGTGGAAGGTGTTAGCTACTACGTGACAGCTGAGTGTATTTGAAGAGCTATAGAGTTGACACTACAGAGATTACATTTATAGTATTCATGTTTTCAAATTAACCTGAATTGAGTTTCATTAGATTAATTCTCCAGTCAGTGATACTTTCAGTTGTGCTTATATGACTGTTTGACCTTTGCCTCACTAAAGTCATCTTGGGGTTTGTTTCATTTCAAGTTCAACAATAGACTTGAAAACAGCTGTTAAAATTGTTGAGACAAGCTAGATGGCAAGTAACAGAAGAAGAAAGTCTAATCAACAGACAAGATAGATTCCCACACTTCCCTGTCAGTTGTGGTTCCAGCTGTGGTCTCTGGGGCCTTCCCCCACAGAGCTGACAACGTCATTGCGGTCTGTTAGCTGTTCCTGAGATACTTTGCACTTCCTATTTTAGGGCCTTCCCAAAAGTGCAGTAACCAGTGTTTCTGACAGTACTTCTGTTGACAACAACGCTAAGTTGGGAGGCAGGATCTGCCAATGCCCACCATACAGTTTGTTCCAGGAGGATGTTTTGTGATATGAAATGCAATTTTGAATGTTTTACATGATGTTGACAACTATCACACACCATTTTCAAAGAATGGTTGGTGTGATTATGTCAGAATTGTTCTTAAATGATATCTTTGCAATGCATGACTGATGGGGATAACTTCTCATTGAACCTCTCAAATAGCCAACAACATCCACCTCCTGTGGTTACAGGACAAGCCTCCCATATTTACCAATCAGAGCACTGTATACCTGCCATGGTGACCTTGGAATATGATGTAACTATGCTGGGTAACCCAGCCAAGCACTTTGAAAGATATTTAGTTATCAAAGTAAGGGGTTCATGGCTTGCATGTAGTGAACATGACCATTGTTATTAAGGCTATCTTGTGCTTAAAAAACTATGTTACTATGTAATGTTATCAGAGATAAATTGTAAAACGTGTCATATTTGGCTTTGATATTGATCTGACATAATTTATGATGAGCCTTGTTTTCTTTGTGTCTGTCTGTGCACAGGAATCTATTGTATGTGAACCCTCAGAGTCTTAACTTTGCCAACCGTCAAGGCTCTGCCCGTAACATTACAGTGAAAGTGCAATTTATGAATGGGGAGGATCCAAGCAATGCAATGCAGGTATGCCATGATGAGGTGCTATTAGATAAACCACTTCCACCTCTGAGTTTGTCCTAGTCTTATCAACCATACTAGAGCAATATGTTGGCCTCTAGCCACCTTTATTGCTTGTTTAATATTGATTAATACCAGTATTTATTTATTTACCTAGGTGATATTTGGGAAGTCCAGCTGTGCAGACTTCTCTAAAGAGGCCTACACTGCGGTGGTGTACCATAACAGGTAAGTGCATGTTGTATCTTTTGGTTGGAATTATCTTTGGAGAGTAGAAGAAAGAAATCAGATGGAAATTTTATTGAGGCTAAAAATGAATCGGACTGTGAATAATATACCATAGAGACTGGGAAAACCATGCATCATGCCTTCATCTAGCCTGTGGAAGTGCTTATAGCTAGTGGTTAACTACAGTCTGCATTTCACTCAGACATGGCACCGTATTTCTCTTGTCAGACCTCTTAAAGGAACATGTGGAGAATACTGAATGACAAGGACAGAAATAATATGAGATGTTTTATAAGAGATGTAAACCTGGAAAGCTTCTACCTTTTGCGTTTGTATCTGCTTTTGGTTTTGATGTAGTGTGCCCTGCCTATAATCCAGTATTATTTTAAACTGGTAAGGTTGCTCCTAATGCAGTTCCTCCTTGAGGATTTTTCTTTTTCTGGCTCTGAACTCTGAACAAAAAAAAGTTTGTTCCCATGAGAAATGAGGGCCCTTCTCTGACCTTTTTAAACCATTTCACTCATTTCAAGCTTTGAGGTAACCCTAGTGGGTTTGTTGCTGGGCCTGCTGTAGTTGTGGGTTGTTTGTCTGCAAACCAGTGCATAAAAACAAAGTTTCTTCCTGTGGGAATATAAAGAATTCAGCTGAAGTGAGTTATGATGTGTTATATAATTTCTTTATTTTTAGGTAACCTGACCTCCACCATGATCCCCAGCTCTGTCTCGAGGCAAAGATTTCCATGTTATAAAGAGACTCAGCTAGAAATTGAATCCATGAAGATTTCGCTTGATTTACCTGTTTGTGGTTGCTAGTATGTAAGCCAGTGTATACATAATATTAAAACAGAATGAGACGCATGCAAATTTTCTAGAAATGCAGCGGGAGGACCCTATTTATAATTGACTTGTTCCCCATTCAAAAACATGTATTTGTGTTGAAGAGGTGCTGACCACAGAGCATTCATTCAGTAAAGAAAACCACTTGCAGCCTTGATGCAAAAGAGAGACTTAATGTGGAACTGTTAATCTATTTTGGATGACTGTCTTTCTGAATTTATTAAATTATTGAGTCAAATATAGCATTTAACACTGTTGTTGAATATTACTGTTACAAATTTTTGATATCAGATCCCCTGACTTTCACGATGAGATCAAGATCAAGCTGCCTGCCTCGCTGTCAGACCACCACCACATTCTCTTCACCTTTTACCATGTCAGCTGCCAACAGAAGCAAAACACACCTCTAGAGACTCCTGTGGGTTACACGGTAGGTAACAGTCACCGGTACAGCCATGACCCTTCCGCACATGCTGTTACTGTGATCACAGATAAGAACTGCTTGCACCCGGACTGTTGCATTGTTCAGGCTGGCATAGGGTTATTTCCTCATCCACGCACACTCGCTTCTTGACTTTTAACCTACACATAAAATTTTAGATAAATGTGCAAGTGTACATTTGAAGCCTTAAAAGAGATTATGGTGAATTAAAAATGCTGGATGTATTAGACAAAGAATAATAAATATCCTTCTTAAATATTTCCCCCTTTCTCTCCAGTGGATCCCCATGTTGCAGAATGGGCGTCTACGAACGGGACACTTTTGTCTGCCTGTGTCTTTGGAAAAACCACCACAGTCTTACTCTGTTCTCTCCCCAGATGTAAGACAGTTTTTAAGAATGCAAGTGTTTTTGAAGTATGACTTAATTAAAGCATGAATGCAGTATTGATATAGCTTCAAGAGGCTGTTATGATAGTATTGTCCAGTTCTCTTATTTTACAAGCTTTTTGTTAATGTTGTGCGCATGGAAAGGAACTGTTGGCAACCCAGGTTAGGAGACACATTGTTTTGCTGTTTTCAAAATGTTAATTTCATACGTGTGGCCCAGAATTACTTAAGTATTAGTGTTCCTAAGGTTCCTCTCCCAGGGATGAAGTGGGTGGACAACCATCGAGGAGTATTCAATGTGGAAGTGGTGGCTGTTTCAACCATTCATACGCAGGTAAGAGTGTTTTCTTTAGCAGCTTTACAACAGTGGTTTGGGGAATTTGGGGATTAATTCTCATCAGCTTTCATCCTTCTAACTCTGTCCTCTCTTTCCTGTTGATACCATCTGTAAATATTTGAGCAGAAGGCAAATCCTGCTAAAAAATTAAAACCTTTTATTACCAAAATAAACAGCCTTTCAGGAATAAAGGAGAAAGGCTTTATTATAATATCACTTGCCTTAGAATTATTTTCAGAAGCATCATACACAGTCATTTGAAATTTCAGTTAAAGTTTAAGAGAAACAATGACACTTTGTTTTTACATTTAGATAGTAATTCTTTCCCACTACCAGTTCATTAGTAGGTGAATCTCACTTCGCCAGTAATTTACTGAGGTCTACTCTATCTGTGTTGGCTGTGGTGTGGGGGGCTTGACCGTGGTCCTTAGGAGCCTGACTGGGACTAACGTGCTCATAAATCACTGTTCCTGGTGCAGATTACGTTTGCCAGATTCTACTGTGTTCTTGTGGTAACGCTCGTTTTGCAGTTTCTATTCAGTGAGCCAACTTGCTGGCTCAAAACAGACGATTAGATCCAAACTTGTTGTTTGTCATCTCCGTCCTCTCCTTTACTCCTTCACCTTTCTCTAACTTGAACATTGTCGTCCCCGTCCCCCCCACATTTGCAACCTTTCTTTCTTCTACTCTTTTGTTCCTTTACCATCCCTCTACCTCTGTGTCCCCTCTCCTGCATTGGATTCAAGATTTTTATTTGCCATTTATGCATAAACACACAGTCTAGGCATATAGGAATTCTTGTGCAGCTCTCTTTTGGAATCAGGTAAGGAGTCAATCTTGAATTTGTGTTACCTCTAAAATGTTCTCTCTCTCTCTCTTCTCCCCCATCCCTAACCCTCTCTCTCTCTAGGACCAATATCTGGATAAGTTTTTTGCCTTGGTACACGCCCTGGATGAGCACATGTTCCCAGTTAGGATAGGAGACATGCGCATCATGGAGAACAGCCTGGAGGCTGAGCTCAAGTCAAGCATTGCAGCTCTCAACTCTTCCCAGCTGGAACCAGTGGTTCGATTCCTTCATCTCCTACTCGACAAGTTGGTGTTACTTGTTGTGCGGCCTCCAGTCATTGCTGGACAGATAGGTATGATATTGCATTATGGTAGCACAAAAGGCACATGAGGGGACATTTTTACTGTCCTTTCTGAACAGCTATGAGATAATGAGAAACATATCTTGATATTAGGTGGAAAATGTGCCATCCAAAGCACTCAATTTAAAATTTGAAATCTCTTAATATAGAGATAATGGCTGTATATTACCATTCAACGTCTACAATAGCTCAGCTGCTGCCTGCTACAGACTTTGTCTGTTACATCGGGCTCAGCTTTGAATCTGCCTCCACTGAATAGAATAGAATAGAATAGACTTTATTGTCATTACTGCTTTCAGTATGAAAGCAGTAAAGTGGGATAATATGTCAGTATGAACAAAAATGACATTTGGTGATGCTAATGGGTTTTGTTATCCTTTATTATGATGTGTTTGGGGGCAGCACGGTGGTGCAGTGGTTAGCAGCACCGTTGCCTCACAGCGAGGAGGTTCTGGGTTCGGGCACCACCCGGGACCTTTCTGTGTTGAGTTTGCATGTTCTCCCCGTGCTTGCGTGGGTTCTCTCCGGGTACTCCGGCTTCCTCCCACAGTCCAAAGACATGCAGGTTGATTGGTGTCACACGCATGTGCGCGTGTGTGGTTGTTCATCTATGTGTTAGCCCTACGATGGATTGGCGACCTGTCAAGGGTGTACCCTGCCTTCGCCCGATTGCCGGCCGGGATTGGCTCCAGCCCCCCCCGTGACCCCGCTCAGGGATTAAGTGGTAGAAAATGAATGAATGAATGATGTGTTTGTACATGACTTGTATGCTGTGTGATATACAGTATAGTGTAGGCCGGGGCAAAAACAAAGCCAAAGTAAAAATGAAAAAGATTGTACATCAGATTACTAAAGAGTAGCCTGATAAAGATTCACCTGGACAGATTCAGGCATAAAGCAGCTGACGTATGCATTTCAAAGTTCAGTGCTCATTTTTACAGTACCCTTCTGTGTGTATGTTTGTGTTTAGTGAATCTAGGGCAGTCATCCTTCGAGGTCATGGCATCCATAGTGAACCGGCTTCACAAGTACTTGGACACTAGCCAGGACATGCATGGCCGCAACAACCTACTGTCCTCTTACATCCACTACGTCTTCCGCTTGCCCAGCACTGACCCCAACTCACCATCGCCAGGTATTCCTTACAGTTACCCTCCTAACAGTGTTCTTTATTTTGTATTTATTCTTCAGTTTTTTTTTTTTAAGTTAACATCATCCAACCACCAATTCACCCCCATTGGGTGTCTTTGACCAAATCTACCTACCATAATTTTTCTTCTATTTCTTTTTATCTTTTGCTTTTTATCTCCCACATCCATTTTGTCCTCTGCTTGTCCAACACAGACCCCTGCTCATCCTTAACAGGTAGATATGGTCCATTGCCATACATCTTAATCTGTGTGCAGTTGTTCTTTCCCTGAAAAGTTGTTTAGTTCTTTAAATGATGTTGCATTTTAGTAGAGCGTTGGTTGTGTGGTAGAAGACGTTTTCCTACAGTCCTCCTGTATTCGCTCATAAACTATCCACTGCCAAGAAACACTGGTTTCTTGATGTAACTTGAACCATGTGTGAATAAATACATTATTGAACTTCTTATGTGTCTGTTCACCACATCTAAGATAAAGGGTTGTGTCTGGGTACACTTTCTTTTTGATAGGATTTGGGTGGTACAAATTTAAATGTGGGCTCTGGGAGTTAACATGAAACCATCATGTCAGTGGACTTCCAGTGGCTTGCCACTAGTACTTATTCCCATCACAGTCCAGTTGTCCCACTTTCCTTTGTCTGTGTTGTCCCAGGACCAGGAGGGCTGGGAGGTTCGGTTCACTATGCCACCATGGCTCGCTCAGCTGTTCGACCAGCCAGCCTCAATCTCAACCGCTCTCGTAGCCTTAGTAACAGTAACCCTGACATCTCCGGTACACCCACCTCTCCTGACGATGAGGTCCGCTCTATCATTGGCAGCAAGGTAAGGTCCTCAAGCACTGTCTTCTTTTATACATGAGCCTGTAACTTCTTTCATCTAAGTACTTGTTTTTAAATGTAAAAAAATTATGTGTCCTTAATGAGGACAGATGCACCAAACACAGTTATTCGTGGTTTTTGGGCACTCAGCCTTGTTGGACTGTTGATGGCACTGTATATGGATTTCAGATATTGCAGTTAATATATAACAGTGATGTAATCTAGAAGCTCTTATTGATTTGTGATGATATTTATACAAGCTCATGTAACTGAATCTATACATTATGGCACAGGTCATCCATGTGTACAGTGACCCTGGGGGCTAGTTTATCAACATGTACACTTTATAGCCAATGCATAATCATAAGCTTGGACATCTTATCTCTCTAACTGCTGTAACAGCAACCTGTCACACACACGTGCATGCACACACAATGTTTAGTGTGTCCAGGCTGTGAAAAGCATATGAGACATTTAGTTTCCACAGTCTCATCAGTAAAGCAGACGCTGTAAAAAGATACAGCAGCACATTATTTTAAAAGTCATTTCACTAACAATAGTGTAATCTTGTCTGTCTCTACTAGCATTCTTTGTTCCTGTTTCTTTTTCTTCTTTCCTTTTGTCATGCATTTTGTCTGGGATATTTTGTGATTTGCAATTTGAAACATTTTGTTTTAACTTAAGCCAAAATGTATTTGAGCAGTGAATGAATTATGTTATGAGCCCTCTCTAATTGTCTTGCTGAACTTGTAACCATGATATGATGGATGCAGCCCCCTGTGTGATGAATGTTCCCTTTGCTGCTAATACCTGACTAAACCTTTTTTCTGTTGTCTCTGAGGGAAGGGAAGTTAATTTTTACTGAGAGGGAGAGAGACAACCTGTGTGCTTTGCTCCTCTGTGGTGATGATTTGGATTTTTAATTTACTGACAGCTAACTGTTTTTGGGGCCCTTGGCATCTTTCAGCAGTCCTGACCTTTCTTTGAACCTCTGTAACTTGTCATTATTCCTTCCCTCCTCCTTCCCCCGTGCTGCTCACTCATTCCCCTGCCTCCTGCCTGCCTTGTGTCAATTGAACTTGGCACCCCTAGGGCTTAGACCGCTCCAACTCGTGGGTGCACACCATGGGCTGTAAGAGTGCCCCCTGGGGATCCAGCCCTGGTTCCGCTCCAGAAACCATGCAGGTGGTTTTATGAATGCCCTGTCCTCCACTTTGCCTCACTATGAAATGAGCTTGCCCTGTTCACCTTGAAAGGATACTGGGATATTTGGAGTTTTGGTTTGATATTGATAGGAAAGTTATTGTTTGGGCATGGGGGCAATCCTTATCCTTCTTAAGACTTTCACTTTTTATATCCACTTTTTTCATGTTGTCATAATCACATCCCTCATTTATGGACTCAGCCTAGAAGGTTAGTGGTTTTTGTTTACATGACTATTGATTGGCAATATTCTTCCTGTTTCTCCAAACTAGAGAGAACTGAACTATGTACAAATTGGCTAGTGTAGTGTCAGGACAAAAAAAAAAGACCAAAACTTCAGAGTATTACAGTATTCTGGTAAAGGTATAATCACAACCCTCTCATGATCCCATACATGGGAGTCACAGCCGCCTCCATGACTGTCTGTCTGTCATGCTAGATTATCACGTGTCATCCCTCTTTACTTATTACAATGAACACCTCTCTTTTTCTCAGTACTACAGGAAAAGATGCATATTCTGAATCCAGATATTGCAGTGCTGGATTTGAATCGATACCACAGTTTTTTTGTGGCTGTGATTTCTTCTACGTTGTTGGCGTTCCCTTTCTTTTTATGTCAAACCTGCCTGCTTTTTTGCGTTTACATTGGTCGTTTATTTTTAAACCTAAAGCCAGGACATAATCTTTATCACAGAGGATGTTGGAGTGGTGGAGAAAAAGAGTAGTGTTAGAAATCACCTTCATCAGCAGGACAGATTTTTGCCTTCATTTCATTTCATTTAATCTGTTATTCTCTTTTCTCATTTCTGCTTTTAACATAAGTTATTCACTTTAAGCCTATATCATTCAACTGTCAGCTAGAATCCCTGCATGACTTTGTACCAACCCTGCATAACATTCACTTTGTCACAGGAGCATGGTATATCTGTGTGTGTGGATGTGTCTGTCCATGTGTAAGGTGTTTGTCAGCTTCACTTCCTGTCTTCATTTGATGTTGTCCTCTGTCATTTTAAGTTGTCATAACCTAAACTTTTGTGAGTTATTAATTTATGCATACAATAATATGAGTACTGGGAAAACAAGGCAATTAATTATGCACATTGTAAATATCCTAAAATCACATCTAGATAACCATATTAAATTGAATGTCCCTACATTTACAGGATATACACATCGTCAGCATTTGACCTTCACTGAAAAATTATGTTAGCTTACTTGCTGATAGTAACATTTGTGATACTATATGTGGTTTTACATCTCTGAAGTATTGAATTCAGCTTGAGTGATGCAGAATGGCACATCATTAAGCATTGGCTGTAGTATCAGATAAAATAAATCAATCTTGTCTTTTTACTTGATCCCAGAAAGATTTATGCAGCCGTTTTGCATCCCCCCCTTTAAAGCACTTGAAATACAGATGTATCTGACTGTTTTAGATTATGGGTACAACATTTTTAAGTGTTGTGATCCTGTCTTGTGTATAAATGTTTAAATGTTTTGTGTCTTCATGTGCAACAACTGCAGTATGTGCAAGCAAACACAAAAGTGTTCAAGTGTGTTTGTATGTGTATGTATGTATGTGAGGGTTTGTGTGACCCAGCAGACACATTTATCTGTGTGCTGTGAAAAAAGGTGCAACCCCATGCTCTCGTTGCTCCTCCACTAACCTTGTTGTCACCGTTCCATTCATTCCACCCATAGGCCATGGAGCGCTGTGGCAATCGCATGTCTTCGCACACTGAGAGCGCCAGTTTCTTGCAAACTTTAACAGGACGGTTGCCCACAAAAAAGGTAGAGCCACTTGCACTGGGAGGAGGAGCCAGTTCCACCCGCCTCTTTTATTTATTTGTTCACCTCCTCATCTGTTTTGTCTGTGGATGTGTGCTTCTGGATCGGTTAATGTTGTATTTGATGGTTGTGGAGTCTTGTTGAATGCGGAATGTCACTGATCTGCCTCTTGTTCTGGATGTTTTTGATGACATGAATGTTGGCTGTAGTCTGGCTAACACTAACTGTGTGGTACAGTAAACTGTAGCCATGTGGTCTGGGAAGTCTTTCTTCATTGTGCAACACTGACTCTGTCCCTGACTGCAAATTGTGTTTGGTTTTCATTTATTAAAGCCCAACACTGTTTGCTTTTGTAATGTTAAAATTGTTTCTTTTTTTTAAAAGGTGGACATAGTAAATGCAACTTGAGTTCAGGTCCACTTACTGGCTTTCAGTGGCATTTTTGGTCTTCCTCAGGGAATGATTTTGTTAATACTTTTGCTTTAAGTGACGTTTCTAGTAAATACACCTATATAATCTGTAAAATATTAAGATAATGTATCTTATCTTTAGGCAGCAGTTACATAATATAGAGATTTTACATGTGTGTATCTGTCAGGCCCTGCCCCTTATCTTTATGTCCACAAGGTTAAAGACGACACTGGACTGGAGTCAGTGTTAGCCGGACTGTGTTGGATGTTGGTTTTGCATAAAACACAGAGCTATATAAATGCAAGTTATTAATATAGTACCTAGAAAAAGTGAAGAACAATACATTTTCCTCTGCTAAAATTGAGTTTACTTTATGTATAAAAAAGAGAACATATTTTAACCATATATTAAAATATAGTACAAAATACTGTTAAAGTATTTGCATGGTGAAGAATGCATTTTCATAATTTCTAAATAGTAGAAATTGTTTCACCCTATTGATAATTGTATTTTTGTGATTATTATGTTGTTTATTTTTAATGTATTTATTTGGTAAGCTGAGTTGTAACCCCTAATCTCACTTTGTCTTTAATCAAGTTAATTTTCAGTGTTGGGGCACCAGAGCTTTACTGGGCTATATTGTTCCTTCATATAGAGAATATTATTATCACTAATCACTGAAACAGTTTTTGGTTCTAAAATTGATAACTTTCACAGAGTTAATTAGAGGTTGAGATGGAAGTCTGTCTATCTGTATTAATTGCATCTTTAGCCACTTTAGTTTTATGTTAATATCACCGAGTGGTAAATTAATTTTGGGACTCTCTTTTGGTATATACAGTCACTCTAGAAAGGATTCAAACCCCTTCACTTTTGATTTTAAACTCAAAAACCTAAATCTTTCACTTACAAATGTATTCAGACCCTTATTGCCCCTTTGGCAACATTTATTTCTTGATTAAGTCTCAATACGCTTTGCACACCTGGGTTTGGGCAGTTTATTTTATTCTTCCTGGCAGAATTGTTATAAGCTCCATCAGACTGGATGAGAAGTTTCAGTGAACGGCCATCTTCAGGTCTCTCCTCAGATGTTCTGTAGGGTTTAGGTTTGTGCCCAGTGACAGTCAGACACTTTGTCTTGAAGCCATTCCCATGTTGTTTTGGTTGTGTGCTTCACATCACTGCTTTACTTAAAGGTGAACTTGTTTTCCCCTTATGCTCTGAATCCTTTAAATGCTGTTTTACAAATTTGAAGAGGACTGTCATATGCCTTTTGAGTCTAATCACTCTCCCATAAAGGCTTGATTGATGGAGAGCTGCTGACATTGTCTTTCTCTCATTTTCTAATATTTCTGCACAGGACTTCTGCTCTGGGTCTTTGTCACCTCCCTCACCTAGGCCCTTCTTGCCTGATTACTCACTTTGGCCGAATGTCAAACTCTGGCAAGAGTTCTGGTTTCGAAACGCCTTCTGTTTCACAATTATTCAGTCCACCGTGCTCCTGGGAACACTCAAAGCTTTAGAAATGGTTTTATAACCTTTCACCTCGCTGTGCCTTGCCAAAATTGTATCTCTGAGGTCTATAGAGAGTTTGTTGCTTTGGTTTTTGTCCTGTCATGCTGAGTAAATTGTGGGTCCTTAAAGATACAGGTGTGTACCTTTCTTAACTACGGTCAATAAATTCAGCTTGACCGCCACAGTAAAGGGTCTAAATGTGTTTGTAAATGATAGATTTCAGTTTTTGGATTTTAACATTTGCCACTCTTCTTAAAAACTTGTTTTCACTTCGGCGTTACGAGTTATTTAATGTGGGTCAAAAATGGCAATTTTTATGAATTTGAAATAAAAAATTAATTTGTGACTTCTTGAAAAAGAGTGCACAATCTGAATGAGACTGCCAGATTAAATAAATAAAAACCACAACACAATAAAATGTGAAAAAAGTGAATGGGTGTATACTTCCTGAAGCCACTGTATAACAAGTTAGGATAGAGAGTGATGCCTTTGCTGGTACCTCACATTCTTTTTGGCTCTATTACTTTCTGCTCTCTTTCCTCTCTCTGTTCTCCCTCCCCATCTCTTTTGTCTCTTTGCATATACTTTGTTCTCAGCTTTTCCATGAGGAGTTGGCCCTCCAGTGGGTGGTGAGCAGTGGAAGCGTCAGGGAGGGTGCTCTACAGCAGGCCTGGTTTTTCTTTGAACTTATGGTAGGAAATGAAATGGCAGGGATGGGGGGCACATTGTTTTTGTCAGCTATCACAGTACACCACTTCTTCAGAGAATTTCATGACAACATCCCATGTTTTACCCTGTCCACAGGTGAAGAGCATTATCCACCACTTGTATTTCGCTGACCGCTTAGAGTCGCCCAGGAAGAACCGGTTCCCAGAGCGCTTCATGGATGACATTACAGCCCTGGTCAGCACCATAGCTGGTGACATTGTTTCTCGCTTCCAGAAGGTAACTACTGAGCCTGTTAAGTATATCATAGGGGCTCCCAGTGGGCATACGGTTATCATGGCAGTTTAGAGACTAGCAAGGGAGGCCACAGAATATGTAATATTGTCACAGTAATAAAAAAAAAAAAAAAAAATTATTTTATTCACTTGTACTTTAGTTGACACTTTTTTTACACTTTGTGGATACAGTGTTTGCCCCCTTTTTTTTTAAATGACTTTATACAATGTAGTAAAGCAGAAATCATGTTCAAATTGCCAGCTCTACAGACGTTTTAACAAGTGTTTCTCATCCAATTAGGACCTGGAGCTGGTGGAGAGACTGAACACTAGTCTGGCCTTCTTTCTGAATGACTTGCTGTCAGTCATGGACCGCGGTTTTGTTTTCACCCTAATCAGGGCATATTTAAAACAGGTATTTTTTTTATATGTTTTTATAATATACAGTTCCTTTTTAGCTCCGTTAACTGATACAGGATAATGATATTGTAGCAGACAAAATGGAAGAAGACAGTTGCCTGAGTACTCCCTTAAAAAAAATCAAGATCTCCTTTTAGTATAGGTATTTATTGAAAACTACTGCCAGATATTTTCTTGTCTATGTTTTGGTGCTGTGCAGCATATAGTACCTTTATTGCTTGGTCTTGTGTTCAGTTTTAGATTTATAAATAAAGCTTTTGAGGTTTCTTCACAGCACTATGAATATATCACTATGGGTCAGTTATTTACACAGCACATAGTGGTTATGATTGTATGGTTAAGATGCATAAGTAAATATATATTTTTTAAAAATATTCAGTGCACTGCCTCCTCTCTCCAGGTGTCCACAAAACTTTACACTCTGCAGAACCCAACCCTCGAGTCTTTGAGGCTTGATTTCTTGAGAATCATTTGTAGCCACGAACACTACGTGACCTTAAATCTGCCCTGCAGCCTGCTGACACCGCCTGCCTCACCTTCACCTTCTGTGTCTTCAGCAACGTCACAGGTCAGACAAAAAGAGACTGAGGAGAGACCTGCATGCAAATAGATGTGTGTGTCACGGTAATTGATCATGGTTGACATCGTGCTACTTGTTAAATTCTACCAACTCATTCCTCGCAGCCGTTTTGCTGCAGTTTTGGCTTGTTTTGTCAGATTGTTTTTTTGTTCTTTTTTGGTCATAACTTGTCATGAGTTATTAACATGCAGATACACAAAAAATGAGGGAGGGTGGAATATTACCTTGATTTACAGGCAAAAAATACCACAGATAAAACATCTGGGTGGTGTTGTTGCTCTATCTTCTTTCCCACAGAGCTCTGGATTCTCCACACATGTACAGGATCAGAAGATAGCCAACATGTTTGAGCTGTCTGTGCCCTTCAGAGAGCAGCACTATCTGGCTGGACTAGTACTGTCTGAGCTGTCTGTAATACTGGACCCCGATAATGAGGGGTTAGTATACTTGTATATCTGTGCATTAATGGAGGGTCCTTACAAAGCATGTCTTCTTACTGAAAGGGTGTCATTATGTGTGGTTGTCTCTGTTTGAGCAGGACGTCTCCCCAACAAATAGGTATATATTGCAAATAAAGAACAGTGATATTTAAAGCTTAGTCCTCTGTTTCTCTATTTCTGTTGGTGAGAGATAAACCTGTTTGCATGCTGATTTGTGAATAAGTGCAAACATGCTGAACAAGCATGGGAATGAGTTTTACAGAGGTGTCTTAATGCTCATAGGATCTCTTATCTCTTACTTTTCATAAACTAAAATCTCTCGTTCCTCTTTGTTTTACTTTGTCTTTATTCATTTTTTGCCATTTTCTGTCTTCTTTCCCTTTTCCTTTCTAGGATGTTTGGCCTACATAAGAAAGTGGTGAGCGTTGTTCATAACCTCTTGTCCAGCCACGATTCTGACCCGCGCTATGCTGATCCTGAGGTCAAGGCCCGGGTTGCTATGCTTTACCTGCCTCTCATTGGCATTGTCATGGAAACACTACCACAGCTTCATGACTTTACAGGTAAAGTTTAGGAACAATACTTTGAACATACATTAACAAGCAGTTTTTTGCTTGGCAACTTTATTGTTGTTGAATTCTTCTGTCAGACACAAACATGTCAGCTATCACATGTAACTATCCAGTCAGCAGCACTCTTAACATGTTCTGCTTAACAGTATGTGGTACACATTAGGCAGACTGTTTCTCTGCTGTGATGTGCTGAGATGTAATGAGACGATTCAAACAGCTGCAGCTGTAAAGTTCCGTTGTAACCATTCATAATTTATCCTTTGATGCCCAAAAGGTTATCATTTGACCTGCAAGGTATGTTGTACCCTGACATACTGTTACCAGCTGATCTGGTACATTATGTTATGATCTAGGGTGAAGATGAAAACTCGCTCAGTGAATCTCAGCCTGTTCTTAACACATTTCTTTTTTTCTCTCACAACCCCCTACGCTAGTAAATGTGTCTTTCTTGTGCCTTGAGCTGGTATTTAAATGACACATTCATAAATGTTTGAATATTAGCAGTGGTTACTAATTTAAGGCCGTGTTACAAAGTTCAAAGGTCTGAATAAAATTTGGCAACTATTAAAGCCAGTTCCAGCTTTAGCTTTTTATTTCTCAAGTTTGATCCAATCACATTATTAATATCCCAGATAGGTTTAACATAATTGTAACATTGCTCCATTAGTCTCAGACTTGTTTGGAGCAGGGAGAGCACACACAAATTGCAGTTAATGTCATATTCATATTTGCTGGTATAACTCTTCAAGTGTCATCTCCAATTCCAGTTAATTGGTCAGTTTAACTTTGTGTTTTCTTCGATTTACATCACTAGAGTCCCATAACCAGTGGGGTCGGCCAGGTGGTCCCCAGGGAGCAGCAGTTGGCAGCAGTGGAGAAGAGACAGAGGGAGAGGGTAACAGCATGATCAGCCAGACTGTCGCCATGGCGATAGCCGGCACTTCCCCTGCCTGCCCAATGTCCCGGCCAAGCAGCTTCTTGCTCAACTCGCAGGTAACCTCCTGTTAAAACTGCAGGACACAGTGAGTGTCCTTATTTTTCTAGTCTCTGGTATTTATCTTTCTCTCCAGCGCAACAGCCGATTTTAATATTGCCCTACAAATGTAATTGTACCATATCTTGAATTGAGAGAACAACTCTTCTATTATGTTTTTATAAAATCTTAAATTAAACTGGCTGCCAGTTGTTATTTTATCACTTTTGTAGGCTCTTCTTTTAGTCTCTGACTCCTCCCTGTTCATCCCTGCAGGCGAGTCGTCAGCATGGAAGCTTCTCGGCTGAGTCCAGTCGTAGTTTGCTCATCTGTCTACTGTGGGTGCTGAAGAACGCTGACGAGCTGGTGTTACAGAAATGGTTCACAGACCTGTCAGTGTCTCAGCTCAACCGCCTGCTGGATCTCCTCTACCTCTGTGTCTCCTGTTTCGAATACAAGGTTAACATCAATGGTGTACACACTCAGTTGCCAGTTTATTAGGTACACCTAGCGCAACAGGCCTGCCATAAATTATACCTTCATTAAGGTTACTGTATGTCTTGCGTTTGTGTTGAAACTGTTTTATTCACATTTGGAAGGTGCTGTTGAACTCTATTGCATTATACTTGTCTATCCTATTTGTATCACTGAGGGTAGGCTAAATAAACACATCTCTGTATAATGATTGTATAGTTGAGTCAGCACCTACTAAAAACAGTATACATTATCACTTTCATGAGGGAGGATTTATTGCAGGGATGCTGTATTAGACTGCATTCGTTTTAGCTGGGTGTTCCGGTTAAACTGCTAGCTGAATGTATGTTCACTTTCTCTATCAACTGTCCTAAATCTTTTGTGGATGATTGGTTGTGTACTCTCCTGTCTCATATAGAACATACGCTTTTCTGCAGTTAATATGCTTTGGCTACTGCTTGTGGTGATAAACTAAGCAAAGCAGACAACTTCCTGCATTCTATGCCATAATCAGCTGTTTCTTTCTGTGTATTTTAAGCACTTTCTGCTATGTGTGTTTGCTTTTATGCTACTAACCTGCTTTGCTCGCCGGGTGCTAAGCTGCAAATAACTTTCCCGCTGTGTGTTCTCTACCCTCACCCTGTGCCTCATGGATACAAGGCCCATTTTGTGTTCACTATGCAGGGAAAGAAAGCTTTTGAACGGATGAATAGCTTGACCTTTAAGAAGTCCAAAGACATGAAGGCCAAACTGGAGGAGGCCATACTAGGCAGCATTGGAGCCAGACAGGAGATGGTGCGACGCAGCCGTGGACAGCTAGGTGGGTGGACATATTTTGGCACATACTCACATGTGTACAACACACACAAACAAATCCAAATAAACCAGGATTGCTGGACTATTAAAAGTTGACTGATACATAGAGAATTACAGATCCATAGTGAATCACTATATCGTGCTTTTCACCCTCCATACACACAGCTCACATACAGTATAACCATCAACTTAGTTAGTACTGTAGATACAGCTACAGCGATTCAGTCACACTTGTGAACTTGTAGCCTCTTTCAGCACCATTAAAAAAAAAGTAAATAATTGTGTCCCCATCACTTAGAGCGGAGTCCATCTGGCAGCGCTTTTGGCAGTCAGGAGAACCTTCGATGGAGGAAGGATATGACCCACTGGAGACAAAACAGCGAAAAGTTGGACAAGTATGCTGTTTCAAACAGTTCACTTTCAAATGTGTATGACAGTGTGCATCCTCCCATTGAATCTCCAGCTCCTTTTCTGTTTTTATTTGGAATCAGTCATTTAGAAGTAAATACCAGTCAGTACATTATATATTGCATTCAAGTGTGAAATAAGAGGGTGCAAATCCTACTAAAGTTTACTCAGCAATGGTGCCAAAGCCCATTCATCTCTCATTATTATTTTCCATATGTGTTGCTGGATTTACACAAGAACAGAACATGTAAAATGTGACTGCCAGGCAATTTATTTGTCTGATGATCAACTAAAGATATCTGTCTAGCACGCACTCTTAAAGTTTTGGGTTTTGTATTTTATGTCAGTTTTTCTCAGATGTTGACACAAAATAGTGTTGTGCTCTTTTGGTTTGAACATTTCTGTTCTTTTGTGAAATCAACTCCAGCCTTTGTTTTCTGTTCATTTCCATTTGTTCTCTCATGCTGCTGTGTTTTTGTTTATGTGTAGGAGTCACAGATCAGTCAGGTATTGTATGGTCCACATTTGCAGTGTGTTCCTTTGAGTTTCTCCCTACTTTAGTTTCTCATTGATGGTGTATTCTTATGCATATGGGAAGTCAGGCAGTTGAAATGGCAAAACAAATGCATTGGTTTATATTAGATTAGACTTTCTGATAAACTCTCCTTTTGAACAAGTCACAAAAAAGGTTATCTAATTTTTTAGGGTGTGCTAAGTAAAGCTATTTCAGCTGCATTGTAATCATGTTATCTCACTTTTAACTTTCTGAGTTCACACTTGCACATGAATGCACCAACAGAGACCCTTGAACCTCCCCCATCCCATCGGTCCCCCTGTCCTGGTAACCGTGTCTGTCTCAGGGCTGGTAGTGGTTGCAGTGGGTCTGTTTTGCTTTTTAACCAGTGTGCTTCTTGTTTTGGGGTTCAAAGTCATGTGCCTCCTTGGTTGCTGCTGAATCAAAAAACAAGACAAATTTAGCCATAGATTTGTCTGTCATAGATTATTTGTTGGCTCAGAACAAAAAATTTGATACTTACAAACTAGTCCCAGGTTCATATACTTAAATGTTTTAGGACATGTAGATATATGACATTTAACCTTGGTGTTCCACCTATAGGCCAGGAATGGATTACATAGCTGTTCATTTACTTAGTAATGAAGACCAGATGATGATGAATCTCTTCAAACCTCTTAACTCTCCAGTGAGTGAAGTGATAGGTTTAGGCTGTAACTGGATTAGCATGCAGTGTTTGAAAAGGTTGAGATGTTTGCCATGCAAGTTAAGCAGTCTTGCCGTGCAACACTGGATTTCACATGGAGCAAGACAAATAGCTATAATACACTTAGCACAGTTGTTGCAAGAAAACCTATTATGTCAGCAGTGAATTTGATAAAATAATAAAATTGGCTGTCTCACCCGGCACATGCATTTTTCTTACATACATGGACTTTTACATGGTTCAGGATTATGGGTAATCGCTTGACTGTGGTGACTGAAAGCTCATGCAATGTTGAAGGATACATCATAAAAAACATAGTGAGCTGTTTATTAATGTGTGACTTTGGTTTCTCTGTTATAGGACCAGAGCAGAGTTGGAACATGAAGCGCTTATTGATGGTAACCTTGCAACAGAGGCCAACTTAATTATTCTTGATACTTTGGAGATCATTGTACAGGTATGCAAGCATACAGAACCTTCTACATTTACCTAAGCACAATGAAAACAGGCATCAGCACAATTACAAACGAAACCACTGTTACAATTATGTAGTCATACACTTAAGCATACATAAATCCTGCCGCGCTCTTGTGACAACTCTCTTTGCATCCCCCTCTCCACAGACGGTATCAGTGACAGAGTCGAAGGAGAGTATCCTGGGTGGTGTGCTGAAGGTGCTGCTCCACAGCATGGCCTGTAACCAGAGTGCCCTCTACCTGCAGCATTGTTTTGCTACACAGAGGGCGCTGGTGTCTAAGGTTAGACTACTGGACTTTTATTAATTAACTTAATTTAACTTCATTCTTACAATTTCTTCCAGGACATCATCATATTTTATTAATTTGGGTGTATTACTCTTTGGTTGTGCAGTTTCCTGAACTGCTGTTTGAGGAAGAGACAGAGCAGTGCGCTGACCTGTGTTTGCGACTGCTGAGGAGCTGCAGCAGCAGCATCAGCACCATCAGGGCCCATGCTAGTGCTTCCCTCTATCTCCTCATGAGGCAAAACTTTGAGATTGGCAACGTGAGTACATTGCTGTTCTCCACCCCATGGTCATGAACAAAAGTTGCTTTCCAACCGACAGCACAGCATCTTAGCTTAAAATGCTTTCATGAAACTAGTATCAGTGGTGAAGGTTCAGCCTACCACCACCCATGCCCCCAGAAATGGCCTCTCATTCAATTTCACATGTTAAGAAACATTGTAACCCCTTTTTCAGGGAGCATACTCTTCAGAATGAGATGATTTTTAAAAGCACTGTCATTAAAAATATGTTTGTTAATATGAAGAACAAATTTAGTGCTGGTTGGCCAGGTTTACTATTATCTTTTACTGTTATTATTTTTCTTTCATTTTATATTACCCATTTTAGTACAATACCAAACACTGTAATCAGCTTTCCAGCTTAGGTTCATTTACTTGGATGCATCATTGCATTTGTATTAATACAGACAGACATTCCATACACAGACCTTATGAAAATGACTTCCAAACTAGAGGGAAATTGGCTCTGCTGCTTCTTTCACTGTCCATATCTCTCACACTAAAGACAGTGGCCTTGACAAAATATTATTTGTTCAACTTTTTTTTTCTCTTTGTGGTTATACTTTCAGAACTTTGCCAGAGTGAAGATGCAAGTGACCATGTCTCTTTCTTCGCTGGTGGGAACATCTCAGAATTTTAATGAGGAGTTCCTGCGTCGTTCTCTGAAGACTATCCTCACATACGCAGAGGAGGACCTTGAGCTTAGGGAGACCACCTTCCCAGACCAGGTACTGATTTATCCATCAGGTTGTTTATTCAATGTCTGCTACTGGGGATTTGCTGACGACTAATTACTTATGGTTAATGCTGAATTCAGTGGTTCTTTTTTTTTACTTCTGTACCCCCCCCCCTACACATTGTTTAGTGTAAGATAAAATACTGGGGAAGCAACTTATGTAAAGTAAGTCTGCCACTTTTTTTTTCTAGGTCCAGGACCTTGTTTTTAACTTGCACATGATCCTATCTGACACAGTGAAGATGAAAGAGCACCAGGAGGATCCTGAGATGCTGATAGATCTCATGTACAGGTACAGAAAACAAGTGCACTCAAGCAAACTCCTTTTGGTTACTTCTCAGTGTACTACAGTCACGTGTCCGGTGTGTCTCTGTCTTTTCATTTCATGTTTATCTCCAGGATTGCAAAAGGTTACCAGACGTCTCCAGACCTACGGCTGACGTGGCTTCAGAACATGGCTGGAAAACACTCAGAGAGGAACAACCACGCTGAGGCTGCTCAGTGTCTGGTGCACAGTGCTGCCCTGGTAGCAGAATACCTCAGCATGCTGGAGGATCGCAAGTATCTGCCTGTGGGCTGTGTCACCTTTCAGGTAGGGACAGTCCAAGTAATATTGCTTGTACATACAGTAAGCCTGTCCGCTGAGGTAATCTCCATAATGTCTAGATGCAAATAATGTCTTCTAATGCACATGCTTGTATTGTATGTATGTGTATGCACGTGTGCTCCAGAATATTTCTTCTAACGTGCTGGAAGAATCTGCAGTCTCTGATGATGTGGTGTCACCGGATGAAGAGGGCATTTGCTCAGGGAAATACTTCACAGAGATCGGTCTTGTGGGACTCCTGGAGCAGGCTGCTGCCTCCTTCTCCATGGTGAGAAGAGGAGGAGGAGGAGGAGGAGGAGATGGTTGATTAGATGGAAGGATGCTGACAAAGATGACGTAGATTAAGTTGCGAGTTTTGGAGCAAGTGGCTTCCTCTTTCTCTCACAAAATGAATGAATTTCACTGGGGGTCATAGTTATTTGATTTAAATATACAGGGTTACTCAGAATAGCTGCATTTTTAGCCTAAGTACTACTGGTCAGATTTACATGGAACTTGTCTAAATCCATAAGTTTAGACAGATGTGTAGTTTTGGATGACTGATTGTACTGCACTAATAGCTGTCTCTCTCACCCTCCCAGGCCGGCATGTACGAGGCCGTAAATGAAGTTTATAAGGTACTGATCCCTATCCATGAAGCCAACAGGGATGCAAAGAAGCTATCCACCATTCATGGTAAACTACAGGAAGCCTTTGGGAAGATTGTTCACCAGGTAAACACACACACATAGTGTTGATCTCCTCTTCCTCACTAGACTCCAGCAGCCTCATGTGATGGATTTTTACAAGAGCCAAAAGAGAAAAGTATTTCTTACCTCAATGTGACTCGGATTTGATGTTTAGTTTCCATTATCTCTTCCTACGAAAACATCACATCTGGGTTATACAGGGTTACAAATGTTTTTTCACTTGTTCTTGTGTAAATCCAGTTAGAGCCATGTAGTGCAGATGTTGAAAATGATAAGTGGACAGTGTGTTCCAAAATCATCATTCAGTATAAAGACCTCACAACCTCACTCACACAGTCAGATGAATGTTTTGCACAGATGGCCTTTTATCATACACAGTACTTCTGTCACATCTGTGAGGCAGTATAGAGGGCATAGGTTTCTTCCAGCAGGGATTTTTAAATTAGTAAACTGAGATAAAAACAAGGTCCAGATACAAGGATCACTGCTTCTCATCTGCAGTGCCTCAGAATAATTTGCATTCGTTAGTGTTGACACAGGTACAGTAACCTCAAACAAGAAATGTCCTGCTTATGTATTCACATTGCTTACAAACCAGCTTTCACACAGATGCAGCTTTGCATGATTTTATTATTTGCCCCTTTTAATTCTTACATATATGTATATTTATTTAGATTTTGTCCGATGCCTTGCATGCTTTATTATAAAATATGAAACTAAGGATGCATGAGGTGTGGGAAGACCAATTGTGGTTTTTCTTAAGGGCTGGTTGTGTGACTCTGTGTGAGCAAAGTTACAGTCATCTGAGGTGCAGAGCAACAGCTCTTACAAAGTCAGCATTTACTTGGTGACAAAACATGATCACCCTTGCCTCATTCTCTAAGGCTAAGATCCCATGTTTACTTCAGAAAAAGGTGTGAGGTCTGTTGCTGTATTCTCCTGCTCGATACTTAGTAACATGGATTTAACTAATTTGAGAGTCCATTCTTCTTGTTGTAACATCGCTGTGGGTGTTTGTGCCACAATGAGTGTGAGGGTGTATGTGTGTCGTCGTTCACTTGTCCTGTATTCTCTTTGTCACACAGAGTACTGGCTGGGAGGTAGGTGGCTAAAGGTTCATGCTTGGCCCTGTTCATGTTGTTTATCTTTTTGTATTTATTTACTCTCATCTTTTTATTTGCAAAGCCATTGGCAGCATTCAGTTACTCTCTGCTTTGTTACGTACATCCAGTTCATTAACATCTGCAGACAATGTTACCTGTCTGCCCCCACTAGGGGACACTTGCTATACGAGCAGCAACATCCTCACCAAATTCCTCTATTGCTCTGTCCTCTTACTGTGCAAGAGGATCTTTGTTTTGTTTTTTTTTTTGTACATGACATTGTTGGCAGGCTGTGCATGGAAGCCACAGTATGTGACAATAATGACAAGAACCTCAGCGAATGCATCACCTGCACAACCGCCTTTTTCCCATCCTCACCTTCTGTCTCTCTGCTGGTGTGTCAGCCAGAAAAAACACATATTGGCTGGCACCATCTGTTGTCACACTTCATCTTCCAACACAGGGCTCGATTTCAGTGCACTGTTTTTATGTGAAGGGTATCTGTTAGCCTCCCCGCTCTAGCTGTGGGTCTTTCTTTCCATGCACAATTCAATAAGCCTTTTAAAACAGGGTGTTTCAAACTTGCATTGGGTTGAATCTGGAACCAAATTTCCGGAGCAGTCAAGTGTTTTCCAAGAGGGTTCAACTCACAGTAATCTCAGGATTACTTGATTTATCCCTTTTGATTTTGATTAGTTTTGTATTCATGCCTTTTCTTTTAAAAATGCAGACTAAATCGACCCCTGATGTTTGGGTTTTTTTTTTTTTGTTTTTTTTTTTTTTTTTTTGCATCCATTGCTCTTTTGTTAACAGTATTAACTCCTGAGTTTGTTGCATGACATGGACAGTGATTTTGGACATGCACTGAGTGCATGGTGTGTTTCTGAAGGTTGTGGATCTTTTTCTCACTTAAATCTTTCTGTTTTGTTTGTAACTGTCTGTTTTTGCATGGTCTGGATCCTCCTCAGTCAATTCTTTCTTAAAATTAATGGAGATATTTTTGCTGTTGTGTTGTTTTTGTAATTCTCCAGAGGAACCAAGTCCTGATTAAAATTTTGTTCTTTTTTTTTTTCTCCTGTTTCATTTCCCTGGTTGCCGACCCTTCCTTTCCACTTTACTTAATTGTGTCTTGTGGTAAGTTCCTTAGTTTTCAGGGCTTCTTAAATTGTTGCTTCTTATTTGTATTTAAATCAGCCATTAAAGGTATATATTTAAATTTCCAAAAACTTGTAGTTATCAAGAAGGTTTATGTAATTATCTTTTACAAGAATATGGATCTGTCACCTTGATTTTCTACAGCTTCCCCCCCCCAAACTATGCCAAACACACACACACACACACACACACACACACACACACACACACCCCCCAAACTATGCCAAACACACACACACACACACACATAGAGAGCTTTTTGCATACACCTGTGCCATACCTGATGGGCATCCTTTCTTTACTTAATTGTGGAGCTACCTTCTGGATTTTCTTTCCAAGTAGAAATCTGTGCAGCACAAAATTCTGAGGTTCTGGATTTCAGTGGAGTACTTTCCCATTAATACTTGCTGAGATATCATGGGTTATGGCAATATGAAGAAGTTATGTCTGTTTTTGTTCTGTAGAAACACTTTTATCAGTGCTGCTTTTGTTCTCTTTCTGTGCCCTAAGGTTGCTTTTAGCAGCCTTCACCCAGTTTAGAATTTGAGCTTGGTGGCCTTTTTTTTTTTTCTTTTCAAAACAGAAAAACAAACATGGAAATATGTGCAAACGAGTTAAATTTGACTTCAATTTATTGAGCAATATTTAGATGTACTATATTACAGGGGGTGTTGTGGGGTCTCAGACCTTCTATTGACAGCTTGGACCCCGTGAAAACCTCAAAATGAAATTTCAGGGGAGTCTCAGACGTGCACCTAGTTATTTTCTATTTACTTACACAATATTATTTACTTGCATGGAACTTTAGAAACATTTGTTTTTAAAAGATTACAGTACAAATATATTTTTAACACTGCATTTATGATATTGTACCAAAAGTGATCCTCTGCCAGAAGCACATTATGGTCTGGGGCTGTTACTGTAAAGACAAATCATCTGATGTATGTACACCTACAGCTGCTCTTGTCTGGATAAAATCCTCCTAAAACACAACATGCAATATCCTCTGTTTTAGTAACAAAGGTCTTTGAAAAACTTGACCATTTGATGAAACTGTAACTGAATAGTGAGTCGGATTGATCTGTACGGTATTCGTCCTTTACTGTGGATCTTGAGTTGCTTTCATGTGTCACTGTAATTTTATGTGCCAATCTGTAAATATTGTATGTAGATGGAGTGCATGTTTCCAATACAGCAGTAGATGCAGATATGTCATACCTGTACTACTGTGGTTACAGTTGAACAAATGTGTGGATGGTGTTCTGGAGGTTGCTGACCCTCCTCTTGGTTGCTCTCTGTCAGACACTGAGTTCCATAGATATCTCAGCCCTTGTATTAACTTGTATGCTGTAGAGCGAGTGCAACACAGTGAGCAGAATAAGCAAAATCAGTGTTTGCGCTCAGACTGTGAGCTAAGGTCTGTTGTTGTCAAATGGATTTCTTCTAAGAAAACACAGCAGCAAAAGCATTCACTTGTTCATTATAGTGACTTGGGCGGCTGTGGCTCAGGAGGTAGAGCGGGTCGTTTCCTAACCGGAGGATTAGCGGTTTGATTCCCGGCTTGTCCAGTCAACATGTTGAGGTGTCCTTGATCAAGACACTGAACCCCCAGTTGCTCCCGGTGATGTCACTGGTGTGTGAATGCGTGAGTGCTTGGGAGTGCGAATGGCCGAATAATGTGAAAGCGCTTTGAGTGTGCTGTAAAAGCATAGAAAGGCGCTATACAAGTATAAGACCATTTACTTTTCACTTATTCTTTATCTGAAGTCACATTTGGATGATGACTTTAGTTTGGATCTAAGTAATGTGTGAATTTAATTCAAATTCCTGCTCAGCACTTAACATGTAGCTTTCTCTGCTTGCAGGATGTGAAGAGGATGTTTGGTACTTACTTCAGAGTTGGATTTTATGGTTCAAAATTTGGAGACTTGGATGAGCAGGAGTTTGTGTACAAGGAGCCTGCCATCACAAAGCTGGCAGAAATCTCTCACAGGCTAGAGGTAAATATGACAAGATTACAAAACTATTTGTAATAAATGCCAAATAGGAGACGGTTACATGTGACATTCCCATAAGGTTTTATTCCAGGACTCGAATAAATGTTTTTATGACAGATTTTTAATCCAACCACTTAATTTAAAAGGTCCAGCAGTGTTGTGTTCAGACTAGGATTTGAATTGGTTTTATTTCTTAGACATCTGTGCTGTTAGTCTTCTACCAGAGGTTAATGGGGCCTGTGCTGCACTTCCTCTTAGGGTTTCTATGGGGAGCGATTTGGAGAGGACCAGGTAGAAGTCATTAAGGACTCCAACCCAGTGGACAAGTGCAAACTGGACCCAAATAAAGTTAGTTGTTAGGCAGAGTGCACACTTGCATATTGTTGGACAAATGACAGTTCACATTGATTATAGTCAAGTCATTAGTCTGAATATCCAAGAGAAGGGTAGAAACACAACCTAAAGACTGAACCATTTCTCCTCCTGTAGGCATTCGTTCAGATCACATATGTGGAGCCGTACTTTGACACTTATGAGATGAAGGACCGCATCACCTATTTTGACAAGAACTACAACTTGAGACGTTTTGTTTACTGCACCCCTTTCACTCTGGATGGGCGGGCCCATGGGGACCTGCATGAACAGTTCAAACGCAAGACCATCCTAACCACCTCTCATGCTTTCCCTTACATCAAGACGCGGATAAACATCATCCACAAAGAGGAGGTTGGTGAATGATTCCAGTTTACAGAAAAACAAGATGAAGATCACTTAGACTTTTTATTGTTTTTTAGAAAGCTACAGATCTCCATTGTTGGAAAATTAATTTTGAAGATCAGGTGTCCTTTTTAATCTAACCTTTGCTGCGCACGTTCACCCTGATCACTAAAACCGCTTGTATGTCACTTTCCAGATTATTTCCACACCCATCGAGGTGGCAATAGAGGACATGCAGAAGAAAACCCAGGAACTGGCCTTTGCCACCCACCAGGACCCTGCTGATGCCAAGATGTTGCAGATGGTCCTACAGGGATCAGTTGGCACAACTGTCAACCAGGTAAAGGTATTTTGTAAAATAGATTCAGTGAAGTGTTTCATTTCCCAGGAAACATTAGGATACGGGGTTTCTGCTTTGAGTTTTGATATTTTGACATACCAACACATTATTATAGATGAACTATTCATAAAGCTTATGAAAGTAAGTAATGTTGTAGCATGATCAAATGATCTGGTTTCATCAGGGTCCTTTGGAGGTGGCCCAGGTGTTCCTGTCAGAGATCCCTAGTGACCCCAAACTGTACAGACACCACAACAAGCTCCGGCTCTGCTTCAAAGACTTCACAAAGAGGTATGGACAGCGCATGATGAATGGCAGTCCTGTGAACAGTATGTTGTAAAAATGGGGTCCGATCTCCTGAAAAATATGTCTTACCAAGTACGTAAAATGGTAAATGGACTGTATTTATATAGCGCTTTTTCCCACAGTGTGTTGCACTGGCCATAGCGCTTTACAGGAGATCATACACCATTCACCCATTCACACACAACATTCACACACCGATGACGACAGGCTGCCACACAACGGCGCTAGTCAAGCCACCGGGAGCAATTCGGGGTTTAGTGTCTTGCTCAGGGACACTTAGGCATGTGGGGAGACCGGGAGTCGAACCAACTTGCTGGTCAGGAGACGACTGCCCTACCTCGTGAGCCACAGCCACCCTCTCCTGAAAAAATGCTTTACTATAGTATACGGTGAAAATGTGGTCCGACCCTGTCCTGAAAATTATGCCATGTTGTAAAAATGGGGAACATAATGTCCTTAAAAAGCTGACCATTTTGATATTTGAATAGTTTTTCTAGCTGAAATTATGCAGGAGGAGTTGAGTGGAAAAAAAAAGTACGGAAGAATAATAATAATGATCACCTTTAATTGGCCAAGTATGTTACACACATAAGGAATTTGTTTCTGATACAGAACAGAATAATAAATAAAGAACAGGATAACAATAGTGTGGATGCTTACTCAGCACCCACACAATAATATTCATTCACAGTTACCTAAATGTAAGCCCATTAAACCTTGCTGCATCACCTTACTCAAAGCAATATACAGAAAGAATAGTACAGAATTTTCATGACAGTATTTCATGGCTCTTCCCCAAAGGTGTGAAGATGCCCTGCGTAAGAACAAAAGTCTAATTGGTCCGGACCAGAAGGAGTACCAGAGGGAGCTGGAGAGGAATTACCACCGGCTGAAGGAGGCACTGCAGCCCCTGATCAACAGAAAGATCCCTCAGCTCTATAAGCCTGTGCTGCAGGTCAACTCACACAGGTAGGACTGAACTGGGGCACTGCCTCTGTGCGTGACAGAGTAACTGTGTGAGAGATAATGAGCACGTGTGGCGCCAGATAATGCTCTGTATTGTGGATGTAAAATTAAATCTTAGTCTTTGTTTTTTGCTTCTGTAAAAATGCAGCAAACGGACAGCTTGACAAGGTAGTTTGAGACTGTGAGACTACATTTTGTGATGCTTAATGTTGTGTGTTTGCATCATTTGTATAGTTTACGCTTCTCATCGGTATTTCTGGGACGCCAGGGCATAGTTAGAGCTGTGTTCCAGATAAGAAAATGTAATCAGGGGATCTTTACAACAGTATAAGTGGAATTTTTCACTAGGTTCACATTGGGAAATCTTCATTTTACATTCACATAATAATGTTGCATATAAAATAACATCAACCCTATTTTTTATCTTTGGGGTCACAAATTTGTGGCTGAAAGTACTACTGTATCTACTGCTGGACAAAAAATGGAGCCTTTCTCATTCATTTGTAAGCGGCCATTCATACTGAGTGCAGTAAAATGTAACTCCATGCTGGTTTTTTTTTTTATGCAAGGGTCTGCGTTGGTTGGGGGTGAGGGAACTATAAATGAATAGAGAGGGCTGCATTCGATACTCAGTCTGAACATGGGCTAAGAGGGCCAGCAGCAGTGTTAAGCAGCAGGATGTAGGATATAGTTCAACTTTTTGGAGCCAGGATGACTTTCCAGAGTTGTACAGTCGTGTCTATGAGTGTCACAAATCGCTGTGTTGTGATTTGGCATCTAATGTGCTGTAAACACATAAATCATTTCCCACATCTGGACCTCACAGTTGCTCTGTTGTTGTTTTACTGTAGGATGAATATCTGTGAGAATCGAGCTTTAGGGAAATGACAATAGATAAACCATTCTAAGTAATGCCTAAATCAGTAGGATATACAGCAAGTCCACTTAATGCTCCAACTCATGTTTTGTGTTCTGTGAGATCAAACTAGTGTGAGAGCTGAAAACCAGATGTTTTGTGCAAATGCTCTTTGTATTACATCTCTTCTTCTTTTTCTTTTTCCAGAGATTCCTTCAGCAGAATGAGTCTTCGGAAGGTTGACATTTGAAGATGAAGAGAAAACGCACACAGACTCTCTCTCACTCACACACGCACGCACACACACACACACACAGAGCAGAAATTGCAATATTAATTTATTCTTGAGTGTAAATAGGAATGTTTCTTCAAAGTTGCTCACTGTCTCAGAGACTGAGCTAAAAGTGTTGCAGCTCGGTACGTCATTCCAGTATCTTAATTTGTTTACAGATAAACTGTTACACAATCAGAGGGACGAACAAGTGAAAGATTAAAGGCAATCCTGGGCATTTAGAATTTTTCTTTGCTGGCCATTTGTCACAAAAAAGAGCAAGTATTTTTTTTTTCTTTATGCTAAAGTTTTCCTTCTTGGAACCAAGAGAAACGTCTTAGCGTTAAGCTACCAAACCACAGAATATGAAAAGAGCGCTATGATCATTTTATTGGTTGAAGTGCCAAAAAGATTTTTTTTCCTGCCAAATTTTGACAAGTGACTGCAGATAAAGGTGAGGTTTTAAAAGTCAAGGTGTCTTTTTAATTATGTACGATGTGTCAAAAAAAAAAAAGTACTGTTTCATGTGTGCACTTTTTTATTACGGTGTAGCAATGCATTTTACAACTTGAAAGTTTATGTAATTCAAAACAGTGAGAGGAAAAGATGCAAAAAATGTTACCATTATTTATCATGGCGCTTTATCATTTTAGTTGAAGCGACAGTGTTTTAAAGTTAGGTACTTTGAACATCTTTGTATAATTTTATGTAGTTTTGTTTTGTTTATTTTAAATATTTTACAAAATAAATATTTTAATGTTCAGTTGGTGTATGCTGCTAATCTTTTTGCTTCCTTAATATTTATGTAGGATTAATGTTACATTGGGGACAATAAAAGAATCGAATGGTTGTCGGCAACGAAATGGATTGCCAAAGTGGAGTGAGAAGGTAAAACCTTTATTGCTTCTCGTATAAACCTAAGAAACAATATAATTACAGCTGGAATGAGGTACAACTTAAAGGACACACTTCAGAAATCATACCCATATATATATGATTTATAGTGAAATAACAAAATGTAGCTTAAAATGTATTGTTACTCACAAACACAGCTAAATTAGAAGCTCGTCAATCCCTGAAACCACCACTGGACCTCAGATGTAGAACCTGAGATGGGCAAATATTCTGAATACATAAAACTTAATGAGCTGTTTTTGTTTTGTTTTGTTTTTTACATGCAAAGCGACAGAATATCAGAAAGTGATTGAACCAGCACAAACCAAATTTGAGGCGTGATCAGCTTTAATGTCATTGAGTGTTCACAGGGACAAATTCTTCACACTGCTCAAGTCCTGAGAGCAACATCTGAATTTAATTTTAACTGGATCATCAGGCTGGAACGAGCCTGACATTTTGTAGACAGCAGGATGTTGACTCACTTGTAGTCAAACCCATTAGTTCACACCTGATGTGTACCAACTGCCAGTGAAGTATGCAAGCATCCATACTGCTCCGATGTGTGGAGTTGTGATTCTGGACTTGCTAACTTTCAAACTAGTTGAAGTCTGAATAATCTGTCCCTGTGCAGTCCCAAATCCTGTCTGGTTTTGCCTTTGTTTATAAATACTTTGCCATTAATGATTTTTCTGACTGATCCTTTTCTCGATATAAAAAGTGGAAAAACAGCTGGAGGTAGGTCTTATGCTGTGAGTCTGTCTAGCAGGTCAGGGATTTGCTCTAAATGGTCTAAAGTAGAGCTGCAACAATTAGTCCTTTTGTCAATATGGTGACAGTCAAATTATAATGTTGAGAATTTAAAATCCAAATTGCCTGGTTTCGCTTCTAAAGGAAAAGACTATTTGCTTTCTTTGAGGGCTGTATTTTCAATTTAGTGTAGCCTGTTTTTAACTATATCTAGGATAACATTTCCTACACTTCAACTTAAAAATAATTATTCCAAGTTATTATATCAGTTTTGAATCATTTAACATTTTAGTGATAATGTATAGGGGGTTTTGGACTGTTGGTCAGATAAAACGATATGTGTTACTTGATCACTTTAGGAATAAGATGTTTCTTCATTTCCTGACATTTTAAAAAGCAAATTGATTATGAAAATTATTGCTGGTTGCAGCCCTATTTTAAACCCTTATATCTCTGACTCTGTTCTCTCCACAGCATAAAACTAAATTATGAATGGAGTAAAAGACTAAATGACGAAACAGACCCAAATTTCTGATTTACACTTAGCTCATACTAAATTACATTTTCAATAATAAATGAGGCAGTTTTTCATGTCTCCTCAAACTGTATAAAAACCTGATAGCTTACTGAACAAAATAGAAATCTTTATAGACTTTAGGCTAAGTTTTATTCACTCTGAATTGGCACCATTAAAAAGCTGAGCAGGCAACTCTACACCCTGCATAGATGGAGTATTACCCGTGCATAATATTAGATACCCGACATTTTTGTTTATGTAAATATAGGTTGGATGATGCTACGGAAGCACATTGCATTTCCCAAAGGGAAATAAAATTCTGTATGTATTCTTGTAATATGACTTACCGCCTCATAATTAGGAGACCTTTTCTCATAAATTAGATAAAGCAGAGGTTGGAGCACCGCAGAACTTCCTTGAAAATAATCAGGTTTTAACAAATTCTTTTGTAACAGTAATACAGTGATAGTTGTCATTACATCCAATAGTGCAAAGCAAAAGTGAACTGTTGCCAATTTGGCAAACTTTTATGTTCCAAAATGTAAGCAAATAAAGGCTAAAAACGGGCCTCAAAGTTGCTGTCTACACTATAACTCTAGACGTGTGTTGGAAAGCCTCAGAACCTGCAAGGGAAACATTTGGAATTAAGATTTCTTCAGTATTAACATAATTCAGTCAGTACACACAATAGCACATACCAAAAATAAATTAACAGTAAGACTATATTCTACTAAGGATTTTGCCGAACATTTGTAGGCTTCTATTGAAATAATGCTCTTAATAGGCTTTTTCTTCTGAGACATGGTTGTAGCCTAGTTTAACCAGCATGTTTGAGCTTGACTAAAAACAGCACCTGGGCTGCAGCCCACAGTAACTCAGGCCTGAGGCAACATTATACTTGCTGTTTCTTGTGAAAGTATTACCTGTTCAAACAGAAGTATAGGCAACATGCTGCTGCCATTGATACAGTATGTTACACTGTGGGCACTGCTTTTAGCCTAGGCTTTATTTGTTTACATTTTGGAACGCATGCCAGATTAGCTGTGATCAGTTCATTTTGCTATATGCTTTTGGATAAATATCAATGGTGCTTAAGCATGTTCTGAAGTTTTCCTACTCTTGCTCAGTACAGCAATTTTGAGAGCTGTTTTAACATATATTTGTTTACATTTTGGAACATGAAGTATGCCAATTAGCTATTAACAGCTCAATTTGCTATACGCGACTGGATGTACTGACAACTATCAGTGAATTGCTTTGATACAGAAGAATTTGTTAAAACCTCATGATTTTCAGGTTAAGTTCTGTAGTGTTCCAACCCCTGCATTATCTCATAAATAGATTAGGATTTCATAATAATGAGAAAAGGTCCTCCGGTGTTGTTCTTTGGTGAATGCAATACCCTTCCATACTGATACTGTGGCTTGGAAATCAGTTCAACACTAGATTTCACCAGCTGATGGCACCGAGTTAAGGTTGGAGAGAGAAAAAGTGTCTGTGTTTTTAACTTAACAGATCAGTGCAGAAGAAAAACCTCTGGTACAGGAGCTGGGTATGGTTTTTCTCATAGCCTAGTGATAGCATGTTTTCTAACTCCATTATTCTGCATTTCTTGTAAAGGTAACAGTTGAGTCCTCTATTCCAAATGCAGCACCGACAGTCTCCTTCAAATGAAGAAAAGAACATTTTTGCATTTTCACTCAATTACAGTTTAGTTAAAAAGTGCTTTTCCAATTTGCAAAAAAAGAATTTAAAAAAGCATCACAAATAACAGAAAAAAGTCTCAAAGCCAGTGTCCAAGCCCGTAAAAATACAGATAGCCCTCTGTGTTCAGCTTACAGAAGCAAGACTGGGGAAGAAAAAAGGTTTAGTCATTCCCGGACAATAGAAAATAAAGCCCCTGTGTGTTGGAGTAAGTCTAAAGTCTAACTTTGATGTGAGTGCACAAGAAGCTGTGAACAGCCTGGACCCTGAAGTGACACCTGACTGCTGCAGAGCTTCTGGCCTCAAGGGTCACTTCAGCTGCTGTGGCAGCAGCCACAGTGTTTTTGGCACAGTCTGTAGTATTACAAAAACAACTTCTTTAGCAGAGTTCTCAGTTGACAAAAATCCTGACTCCCACAACCTCGTCATGCCATGCCATCCCAGTGTTAGCACCCAGGCTCTGGCATTCTTCTGTAGAATAGTAGGTAAGGTGTCGATGAGGAGTACGTCTCAGGAGAGCAGGCTCGCAGAAACTGCTCTTCCTCAAACAAACGTACCTCTGAGTCATCAAATAGCAGCCATTTGTCCTCATATTCCAGGAGGCTGTTCAAACACTGCTGCGCTGTGGCCTCCACCTCAACACAGGAAGACAGTGAAGCCTCCTCTCCTGCCTCAAGCTCCTTTTTAAGTCCTGCTTCAGTATTTTGGCCCAGGCTACTGATGGTCTTTCTGTGTTTAGATCCTTCTGTTGCTCCACTGCTGCTGTTCCCAAACTCGTGACTAGACAAACTCCTCTGCCCCCCCAAAAGTCCAACCCCACCCTCAGATACCTTCTTACCCCCTAACCTTGCTCCTCTCTGTCCCTTTGCATTAAGGCTAAAAGACACTTCTCCATCATTGTAGTCCAGCACTTCATCTTTCACCTGTGTTCCCTCTTCACTCTTCTGCTCCTCACCCTCTTCTGTTTTTCTGTCCTGCGGCCAGAGTTTCACATCTTTGAGGTCTGACATCCGGATGTAGGCAGTGTAGTGGCCGCTGCTGATGGTGACTCCGCTATGCATGACCACAGCAAACAGCTGATAGTGTTGACCTTTAGTGCACGAAGGTTGGGTGCACCACTCCTCCAGAGACAAGGTCAGGGGGGTCTGTAAGGGAGTGTTCACCTTGGACAGACCTGCATATGGATCCAATCTAGACAGGAAAAACAGACAAGTTACTACCTACTACAGGAGTTAATAAATCACACAGTCATGATCATGGTACTGTCTTCAATCAGAAACTGTTCCCGTTCTACTTCTGTGTACTACCAAGCTTCATTACATTTTACTGTATTTTCTAGGTATTTATGCTGTCAAAGCCAAGGAGGCATTAAGGAGGGCTTTGTCAATTTGAATACAAATAATGGGAATTTCAGTGTATTTATATAACATTAAAAAACCAAGTTAACAGCTGTATTTTACTGTACTGTATTACTCATCACAGCTGAGGCTTTCTGAACTCAACACAAAAGCATCTTATTTGGGGTTTGATTCTTTGTCAGCGCACAGCATCAGCGTGGGCCTTTAGCATCCCCTTTTCCTTGCTAAGCTGTGTTAACCAATATCAGAAACCGGTAAAAATTCAAAATATGTCCCTATGTAACCGGTGGACAACACCACTGACTTTGGTATGGCAGGTTGGGGTTCGATTCTCTGTCAGGGCACAGAATCAGTGTTAATGCGATCCGCCCAGTGAGGTCCTACACAAATGCTACCGCATGGGGAGCCAGGGAAAGGAGATATAATCCTCCCCCCAAGTCAGAGATTGAAGATCACAAAATTCGGTTTTCCTAGCATCATGACTAAGATGAAGTAGTGAGAAAGGTGTAATGAAGACTAGTAGCAAAGAAAGTGAAGGGAAAAAAGTGAAGTGCCTCCTGAAACCAGCAAGCTGATATACAGCAGAAAAGCATGACTCACACTAGTAGTGAGGAAAGTTCCTCCTGAGATATACATGACAAAGGAGAAAGAAAGGAGGCACACAGGAGAGAGGATTCCCCGGCTCTATTTATATTTATTTATCTTACTAAAAACTGTTCTCATGTTTTCCACATTTTCTTTTCACTCTACTGAAAAGAAAATTCAGAAAACTGAACATTAGACACATATTAGTTAAAACTGGTACTTTTACATGGACATAAGTGAATCTACGGTTTGACTCACTTGTAGTCAAACCCACTCTGTCTTTTTTGAATAAAGCTTCAAAGCTCAGTGACTTTACAATACTGACAGATTTTTTTTTCAACAATTACAAATAAATGGAAGGTTGGCCGGTAAATGTGCTTGTAGTTCATCAACTTACTCTAAACTGTTGGCAGAGAAGCGCTTCAGGTGAATGGTGATCACTTCGGGAGTTTTGTCAAACAGCAGACTCCTCTCAGCCTCTGTGTAGTGATGGCATGTCTCGCAGAAGTACTTGTCCTCACCAACAATGCGCTCCACTGAAGCAAACTGGGCAATGGCCCATTTCAGAGTTTTCAGCTCTGGTTTAGGATCTGGTGAGACTAGAACGAGAGTAAATCAGATATTAAATCATTTTTCTTCAGCTTTGTGTAAGAGTGTACATGTTAATGTCATTGCATTTTTATGGATGTCTTCAGGCTGTTTTTACAGAGAAAACAGAGCAGGATTTCAATGTGCAATGTTTGGACTCTGGTGTGGCACCACACATACTTAAGAGCTTTCAATGTGGTGCCAGCACTTCTTTTTTGTGTGGTTGTACACGGCTGCTTCATAAATGGTACTAGTACAAATCCTCACCCTCTGAGAGGTCGTCTAGGCTGCTGGGCTGGTCATCTAGCACAGGAACACTGATGTCCTGGAAGTCCTCTCTCCTTTCTGTGAAGCTCTCACACTCCAGACAACGGGTCCTCAGAACCAGCTGGCCCTGGAACAAGCGCTTCATCAGGTCTAGGCCCTCTGAAAACAACAAACACAGAACTGGTTGAGTGATCTCTCCTTTGTTATCTGCAGTCACTGAACTACTGATGCTGCGTTTACAGGGCAGGTGTGAAATTCAGCACTGGCCTTTCCTGTCTTTACTCCTTTCCTTTAATTCTACTGAACTGTGTAAAGTTGCTTTTAAAATAACTAATTAAAAGAGATGGTAAAACTAATCATTTGCAACCCCATAGATAATTAGAATATAACTTGACTAAATCACATTTGCACACTGTTCTTAAAGGCTTCATTTGGAGGTTGTGAAAACTAATTTGCTTTTTTTATTTATTTAATTCTTTAAAAGGTCTTTAATAAGTCTTGAATTTAACTTTGGTGAAGCCTGCAAAAAGCCCAATATGTATCAATTCCTTTTTCCTGCAGCTGACAGAACAGAACAGAACAAAACAGCCAAGGTAAATCTAGACTGAATAAAGTTATTCTGCTTTCTGCCCGTGTCCCGTTCTTCTGAGAAGTCATTTCATACCTTGATGTTTCACTGCCTTCTGGTCCTCAGCTGTGTCTTGTGGTGACAGCCCCTCCCTGGTCTTCTCACTCTGGCTTTCATCATCACTCTGTCTGTCATCCTGCTCTGGTTTGTTTTGGTTCTTCATAGTTGTGGAGCTGATCTTCCCCACACTGCGGAACTTGGAGAAAATACTTGGCTGTTTCACAGAAGGCTTCAGCCAGCTCAGCTTATCTTGCTTCTTTCTTTTTCCATTTGCCTTTTTGGATGCCTTTTCACTTTTCCCATCACTGTCACTCCCTCCATCTTCCCCAGTAAGTTTTTTCATCCCCCCCTCCTCTGTGTCATTGTCTAGGGTGCTATCCATCATGATGTCACTGGAGGACTTCCTTTTGGAGCGAGTAAAGGGTTTATTTCTACCAGTGTTGTCTTCCTCTACATGAGATTTCCTCAACTTGACAGATTTTGGTTTCTTCTTGGCGTTTCCCACCTCTGTGTCACTTTTTCTCTTCCCAGTGACTTGGCCGTCCTCTTCTGGGGGAGCTTGGGATTCTGTTACACAACTGCTGGGACCCAAATGGTCACTGTTCTCTATTTTAACCTTTGTCACATCCTCATCATCCTTGTCCCTGTCCAACTCCTCTTCCTTCCTGATGGTGTCACAAGCTTCTTGGACATATCCCAGGATGCACTGGAGCACCTCCTGGGCATCATGCTGAAGATATCCTTCGTACATGGGGTTCAGTTGCCTGCAACACACAAATCAGAGAGCTGACAATTAGTGGACTGAAAAGAAAAAAAACTATTTGCTTAGTTTGGCAAGTTTAATTGATCAATTATTTAAGGAACTAATGATGTAAAATAGAACAATTTACAGTTTCAGCTTTGAAAATGAATGAAAAACGTGCTTTTTTAAAAACTAGCATCGGTGACTTTAAATGGGCATTAGTCATTAAATTTCACTTTTTATAGAGTAGTTCAATCAAATGTATATGCATTCATCACCATGATGTTGTCATGATCTTGTCTATTTTCCTAAGTGCACACACCTTGGTGTTCCTTGAAATGCTGTTACATGGTAATTTTAGATTCTCGCTCATCCATGCAATAAGATCGCATGTTTAATTATTTTTCATGGAATTACATATTTTATTACAGTCAAACCAATGGTGTTGAGCAGATGAGACTGCTTTAAGGAAAAGTTTTCTAAATAAATCAGATTTAAGAACAGGGTTAAGGGGAAAAAGGTCTTGTTCTAGGCCTTAAACAAACATATGTCACTTTTCTGTAGCAAATGACAGATTTGTCCCATATTATTCACTGATTAGAGGAGAAATTAGCAAACCTATTTAAATCTAAGATAAGTACAGCTGTACAGGTACAACTCATTATTCATTAAAGCATTATACAATCAAGTTGTTTGACACACCAAGTTTTGCAATGGTTTTGACCTTTACAATTCATTATTCAAAATGATCACATGATTACCTGAGTGCATGCAATATTTTCCGAGGCGGTGTAGCGAGCTCTCCTTCACTGAAGCTGTCGGGGTTGAGCAGGAAGCTGGACTGCAGCTGCTCCACTGATGTTATCAGGCTGTTGAAGCTACACAGGAGCTCAATATGAGCTGGCAGGGACTCGGCTACACCTTCTGACTGCTGAGAATGTGGCTGAAGAAATAAAATATTTCTGAATTGCACAAAGTTTGTAATTGCAGTGGGTGGTAATTTCTGAAGACACTCTTTGCTGATATATATTCTATCAAATAAAATGATAAACATTTATTTTGCACCAACCTCCTCTTCACTTTTACCCCTCTCTTCCTTTGGTTTGTCTTTGCATTTAGACAGGCTGTACAGTTTCTTTATGCCTTCTCTGAGCCCCGGGCAATAAAACAGAACCTGTCGAAGTAATCAGGCATCAACAAGATTAGTCATCATATTTTTTATCTTTTCTTGTTTACAAGGAGCCTGTCTGTATAGAAGAAGCTACTACAAACTGAATAAAGACATAAGAAAGCAAGCAAAATTTATTTAGATAGCACCTTTCTAAATCTAAGCTACAAGGCGCTTTACAGTAAACAGAAAAGAATAAAACCAAATAAATCCCACATACATAATAAAACAGCAAAAATGCACAATCAAAAACAAATACATCAATCAGAGATGTTGCTAAAGGCCTGCGAATACAAATGAGTTTTAAGGAGGGAGACTATTCCACCGTATAGGACTATTCCCATACCACAAAAGCTCAGTCTCCCCAATGTTTTATTCTGGATTTAGGTACATCCAAGAACAACTGATTGGAAGACCCAAGTGTCCTCTCTGGAGCATAAAAATGTACAAGCTCAGAGATAGATGAAGGTGCTAGACCATGCACAGCCTTATAAACAAACATCAACAATTTAAAATCAATCCTAAAGCAAACAGGAAGCAAATAGAGTGAGGCAAGAACTGGGGTTATATGCTCATGACGCCGTGTACCAGTCAGAAGACGAGCAGCTGCATTCTGGACCAACTGGAGCCAAGATAATGACAGATAAGGATATCACTCCTTATGGTCTACTGATAGACATAGGTGATACATGTTGAACTTGTGCACAAACAATAACAGTCATTATTAACAGGGTTGCACAGTTCTCCAAGTCAAATTCTATTTTAATACTACACAGAATGCAGTTGTATTCACAGCCATACTAAAAAAAGTATGAAGCATAACACACACAGCTTATGAGACGAGGCGATACACAATAATGGGTCCACAAGAACGAGACAACATTTTAACCCTATTTTTAAGAATTCTTCAATTACAAAATATATGACTTTGAAAACTGTTCTTTATTTGACTGATAGTCATAAAATGCAAAGCAATGCAGGTGCACTTTGGATGTTTTAACTATTCAGCTTGTAATGAATGTCACTTCAGCTCTACTTTATGAGAATGAAGCTGTGTGACCTAACTCAACTCCTTTCTACAAATTGAACATAAAAATTTGCAGGGGCACCTTTTATGCCAATTTCACCCTCACACTCCGTCATGCTGGTTGCTGCTCTGGTTCTGTTATGTACCGATATCAGGAGACAGCTTTTCACCTCAACAATAAATATCGTCACGTTTTAATATCGAAAGATCTCATGCCACAAGATCTCATCACACCCCTAGGTAGAGGGTGATAAAAACTATTGTTTTATCACCTATTTTAACCTATTATGCATGAATCTATTGCCATTTATACCACATAATGGCAGTAATTCACATCAGTTGCTCAACTAATTCCTAATAATTTAATTAATTATTCATTAAACACAACCTGAATGTGGATGGCTAAAAAGGATAGATGGATCAATAATTTAAAAAGTAACTAATTACACAAAGTCAGTGCTCTGGAACAACAGTACCAGGGGCTTTTACACACACATCTTTGCAAAAGTCAAGTTAAAACATTTTAAGGCTAACATTACTGCATACACCTTTTAAGACCTTTGTAAATTAAATTTAAAACTTTTAAAACCTTCTATGGCCCTGTGTTTGAAAACTGAAATCTGGTTTATGTCCTTTCAACACCTGCAGCTACCTTGTGCAACAGCAGTGCAGTACACAATAATACTACAAACAGGGAAGTAATACAATACTGGAATATTTTCTGCTTGCATACTGATTATAGAATAATCTTCCTGTGTAACCTTGGCCCTCAGTTTAATCTACAAGAAAAACTGTCTTATTCCATATACAGGATGAAACATGACCCTGAGATACACAGCTACACAAACACTATTTGAACAGGTGCTGCAGAGGAGATCATACAAGTGCCTGAATGTGTCATAAACACTCCCAGGACCTGACTATTTCTGTCTGTTTACATCCAAACACTGATGCCACAGTGAGAGAATAACCTGAACACACTGCACATCACAGACGGGACACTAAGCACTTTGGAGAAGCCACTTATCTACAGCAAAGACACACTTTTGTTGACTGTTTTTATAGTGTAGTAATCTGTTTCTGTAGCTCAGCAATATAGGAAAAGGAAATGTGATTCCCCCCCTGAAATTGTTTCCTGTTAGTTGCTTTATAGTTCTCTGTGTAAGACAAGGCCTGTATCATGATGCGATATATTAAATGACACATTAAAAAAGTTGTCTATTTGTGAGTTCTTTAGTCAAATATCTAACAAACACCTTTTCCTTTCTAAACATGTTACACATTTATGTTTGTACCCAAACAGCTATTAAAGATACATATCTGTCTCTAGTAATGACCCACCTGTAAGATGCTGTTCAAATAGCAGGTATTACCCAGGTTGTTAAGCCCCACAAATGGCACCAAGTTCTCTCTCTTCTCACATGGCAAGAGAAAACCAGGTGAGGCTGGACATGGAGAAGGACCAGGGACCACCTGATCACAGCCGCTGAACAGTGGACAAGAAAACAACTTCAAATTAAAAACAAAAACAAAATCTGCAAGTTACTTGTTTGTTTGTTGCAGTTCTAGAGGTGGCCAATATGATGTCAGTTCTTACCCACTTCATTATTAATAAAACTTTTAACTATGATGAAACGGTTTTCAGTTTCACAGTAACAGCCAGTATTACTGTTTCACATTTTAATTATCATTAAGACTGTATTTGATTACCACACTCTGATATCACTGAAGGGTTAAGTCATAAACAGAATCATCCAAAGTCGGTGACAGCCAGATAGACACAGGCAAAGCATGCAATGTGGGGGGGATTAATATAAATGGAAGCTTTCACTATTAACAACTCCTGTAAAAACACATTGTTCTGCTGCTGTATGTATCACTCGTCTGCAGAGTCCAGTTGCTCAATGTACACCATAACAGTCAGGACTGCAGAAAAGGTCATTGGTGTGAGCCTGCCCTCCATAGATGACCTGTACACCTCACGGGTCAAAAGGAGGGCGGAGAGGATCACTGCAGACCCCTCACACCCTGGACATAATCTGTTTGAACTCCTCCCCTCTAGACGGCGTTACAGGTCACTGTGCACTAAGACAACCAGGCACAAGGACAGTTTCTTCCCCCAGACTATCACCCTGATGAACACTTAACCCACGACAGTATGATTAGACAATAAACCTCAGTGCAAATACCTGTAAATATACCTCATACAGATTATAGAGACTTGTATAGGTATCTAGTTCTTAAATACTCGGTTTTACCCCTATTTATCTCATTTCAACAAACATTCCTTTGTTGTCTGCATTGTTTACTGTCTGTTTATACTGCTTTTTCTGCATTGTTTGCACTGTTTGTTGATGTTAATACTGCTATTTTGTTATATTACACAGCCTTATGCTGGTTTACTGTTTTGCACATTGAGAGCTGATGTACCTGAGTCAAATTCCTCGTGTGTCCATCACACCTGGCCAATAAAGCTTCTGATTCTGATAATACAGTTTAGCCAGTCATAGCTGATTAACTACAATCCTGAATACTGGCTGGGCCTAAGTATCCCTAGTAACAGAATTCTCTTTTTTTCCCCTTACAGAAAAGAAAGTCTTTACTTGACAGTATTTAATATTCTGATTTGAGGGGCATGGAGATTTATTTAAGTGAAATAAAAATGCATTTTAGGACTAACCATTATTTTCATTATCATTTAAGCTGCTGGTAATTTTTCAAATAATCAATTAGTTGTTTGGTCTGACAAACATCAAGGTGATGTCTTCCAATGGCTGCTTGTATTTCACCAATATTCCATACCCAAAGATATTTCATTTATTACAACATTAAGACCAGAAAAAGTGACAAATCCTCACAATGGATAAGCTAGAACCATCAACTATGTGGCATTTTCTGAATACAAATATACATAAACAACTATACTTTTCTTCTTTTAATCAATTGGGCTCTAATGTATTTCAAACCAAACGGCGAAATGTAAGGTATGCCCATCTACATATCTATTATCACAAAGGCTGTGAAGTTAGCACCATAGTATGATAGAAATGTATAAGAAGAAGAAAAAGCAGCTTTATTTATTGTCATTATAACATTGTGACACGTACAACGAAATTGTTTGGACCAGACCATGCCAGCCAAGGTGTCAAAGCGGTGTTTTGAACTTTGCATATGCCCCGTATGAAAGGCACATTGACAGCACAGACCCACCTTGCCTCAGGCTCCACTGGTTCTGCTGTTTTCGGTTCACCTATTTTTGGTTCAGAGAAATCCAGAGCCCGTTTAGCTTCCTTCTTCTGGAAGAACTTCAGAGACAGTTTGCTCCTCTTGATGGGGCTCCCAAGCGCAGCCACAACATTTTCACCCTGCAGTCCCGGCATCTTTTGTTCTGTACCCTGTGGTGATGTTTTTACTACTGAGATGCAACAGCGCACCTCACTGGCAAGAAAAGGAAACGCAGAATTAAATTTTAGTGGCGCCATCAGAGTTCAACGAGAACGACAGTAACTGCGCACTTAGAAATGCTACTACGCAGTTCTATCACTACAACCAAACTACCTAGATTAAATTAATGTAGATGGCTCTGTCTTACAAATCCAACTCTGTTGTCAACTGAACAACGCATTATATAACATGTTAGCTTGCTAACGCTAACTTATTGATAGCGCTTCTTCGAGTCCCCCCAACGTCTGAAATATTACCGTTTACAGTAACAACTGTTGAATTTTAAGTATTATAAGGTGCCTACGGTGTAGCCACTAACGACAGCTCAAAATAAAGTAGTATTGCCGAGCACTTTGCAGATAACACAGACAAAACTGGGTCAAAACGTTGCGTTGAAGAAATGGGAGGAGAAAACAGGCAGTACTATGTTTCAAGCAGTTCACGAACACAAATTCTCAAGACCCCTACAATGTATAGACATGTTTTAAATCTTACCTGCGAGAGCCATTACAGATGAAAGTTTAGTATATTCACAGATTATCCATTATTCGTGTCATTTACAGAGTATATGCCACTTTAGACGCATGGGTGTGTGGTGCAGCAGAAGTTGGCGCTTTTTCCTGAAGACCCACTGGCTGCTACACTGCCAGTAAAACACCGTTACAACAACAAAACATCCGACAACAATGTGAGGTTATACCTGACATTAATCATATTTCAGATGTACACATAAAACTTTTAGATGCATGTAGAATTCTGTTAAATGGTATAACCAGAATGGTTTACGACCCAGATCTCCGGCTTATATTAAGACACCTATTTAATTTAGGCCCCTCTGGACAGTTTCAGACGCCATTTTGGTAGTTCTATTTCAGTCTGCGACACTTGCGGTGGCAATTTAGATTCTTCCTTTAAATTAGCGAATAAGTAGGTGGTGCGACATGAACCCTACACATCTCTAACCAGAAAAAGACAGATTAATCTACAAATAAAAATGAAAACCTTAAAGGAAATGATGTTTCCCACAAGTTAAAAGTTAACTCTACTCTTTCCAGTTTTTGTTTTGAATAATGTACTTTGACATTTTCTTTATGTAAATATAAGATTAAGATCACCAGAGAAAATTAAATAGGCTACTGTTGTTATTGACAGTGCTCACCTTTTATCGACAGGGGTCGACATTGTCCACGGTAATGGAAGCTGGACTTGTCCAGCAGCATCATTCCTGTCTTCACTGGAGCATCGCTTCATCTGACAGTCAGCAGAGGCTATCATTCACGGTAAGACACTGTTTGCATCTCTCTGCTTTCTGCTTGAAAAGACTAAGCCAAAACTGTTTGAAAGACCTATCGATAGTAGCTCATTTAATCTCTGTTGCAGCGTGTTGGTTTTACTGTGATAAGGCTACTGAGTGTTTTGCTGGCGTACGTTTTTATTTAGGGGGTGATCGCTGCACGTGAATGCAGAACAAAAATAAGAAATTACAGGTGTCACGTTTTTCTTTGCATACACCAGGTCAGGGGGTTTAGCTATACATCAGAAGGCTACGTACAGTATGCAGGACGATCCGCTGCTGCTGCTGTTGCTGCATAGTGCTTGCTTGTTCAGCAGCTAAGCTGTATCGATGGACATGAGCTACAGTACTGTGCTTCGGCTTCCAGAATCCACTCAGGATCTCTGGCTTGGAGATCAAGTGATATTGGATCAAGGATGCTGGTATAGCAGTAGATGGGAGTGGTTTAGAGGTACAGGACAGCCTGTGGGGCTGTGTGTAGATGGAGACAGTGCATGCCATCCCCATCCCCATCCCCATCCCCATCCCAGTCTCAAGCATCAGAATGTTATCTCTTCGATCTCCAGTTCTGTGTTGGCTTTGGCAGTAAATCTCTTCCCTAAGTGAGTGTACAGAACCACATTTTGCCTCAAACCACACTGTTTAATAATTACCTAATGAAATACAATTCATTACAGATGTACTAACTATAAGCTAAGGGGGTGGGGTGTTATGCTCTTCCTCACATCCCATCTAAAATCTAACCAGAAGATGTACTATAGGGGAGTATTACAGTTTTTCACTTCCCACATCACCTCCCGATAACATAATTTTCTTATGGGAAGCAAAGTAATCTGAACAAGGCAGTGCTTGCTATCCTTGTCCTATATATTGAAAACAAAACATGGCCTTGTTTTTGGGCTGGCTACTACATTTACACACAGGATGCAACAGCATTGTCAGTCGTTGAACGAGGTCACTGGACAGATTTGAGCAATGGCATGGTAATGGGAATGCGCTCTCCTTGGAAATGTATTCCTACTTCGAAGACATGAAACCACTTATTGAATCAGGACAAACTGCTCCAACTGTAAATGCAACATTTTGGAAATATTGTTACTCACTGGCAGAGCCAACAAGAAATTAACCCCTAATCGTGTAAATGCAACATTTTGGAAATATTGTCACTCACTGGCAGATCCAACAAGAACTTAACCCCTAATCTGTAGCACTAATGAGGGCTATTCTCTATATACTGAGCAGTAGAACTTGCCTTTATCAAGGCAGGCTTTGTCCCAGGAGGTAGGAGGCCCTTACGACTGGAGCAGTAGAGGTGGGTCATGGAAGCTGAAAGGCCTGACCCATGATGTGAAACACTCCCCTCCATTCCCCATACACCTTCCCAGGAGGGGCACACTGTGGGGAAAATGAAAGCAGCGACAGCCAATAGTGCACTCCAAGAATGAGGAGCATGTATTGAGATATACAGTACCACCTCTCAGCAGCAATCCTCTCTGCATGTCCTGTTTCCCTGCTTTATGCCTAATTTTGCAGGCCCACTGGATACAGCAACATTAGTAGCCATCATAGCTGTTCCTACAGGTTCTCATTCTCAAATACACATTGTCTACACATGTTCACATGTAAACACATTACCACCTTTTTAGGCCTTTATCTAATTATTATTTTCTGTTGTTACCTGTGCTTTTATTAATAGATTAAAGGAAACATTTTGGGGAAACACTCTCATTTCTGCACAGTAAATACAATGCTACTGCCAGCAAGAGGGGGAAGGTAGCATGACACTGGATGTATGACAGTATTTATTTAGCCCATTTATATGGCCCACTCAATTAGAGAGAATACTGTAGCAGACTATTTCTTTGAGTAGCTGCTGTTTGCTTAGGGCCAAGAATAGTCAGACACATAACCCCCTGTAAAACAGTAATTGGTTGTTTTTGCACTTCAGTTTTTCTAACAAGAAAACTAAGCCTGTTGCACAAAATGTCAAATTCTTTTCTTTAATTGTTTACCAGAGCCTCAAACTGAAGGGTATTTTATTTATAAAGATTTCAACAAGAGAAACATGAGCAAATGATGACTTTAAACGAATAACTGATAACCAAGTTTATTAAAATAAAATCAGGCGCTGTCTGTAAATCACCCTTCATTACATGGCCTCAGTGTGGAGGTCAGTGATTTGTCCTGCTCAGATTGTTTCAGTGTTTCACAAGAAGTCTTTTAAAATAATTGTAATCATTTTGTGACTATTCGAAGACCTTTTGGGTGCCACTTATTAATAATAACTTACAGTGAGCGCCAAATACAACTCGTTAGAGGTTGATTTTGCCATGACACCCTCTTCTCTCTGCTTTCACATCAGTTGCTTTATTTCTTTCTGCCGAAAGCACTGGCAGACATTTCTCACAGACTCGCTTCAGTCAAGAGTGCATTTTCGGTGTGTGTATCAGAAGAACTGAGTTAATGAGATTCTTTATGAGCGTATGTATGTGTGCATGATTTTTTTGCTTTCTCACACAGCATACCGTACTTCTCTGCATCCGAGTGATTTCCATTTTGATGCATGCCGAGGAGGTGGGTGTATCCAGCCCAGCCTCTCCAGTGTTAGGAAGCAGCAACATTTCCATCCTACTCAGTCTGCTCTCTACTCTCCTGCTCTCCTGTTTCAGCCAGTCTGTCTGCCCTCTAGCATAGTACTCTCCTTGCACTCACCACTATTTATCACCATCAAGGATACATTTACAGAGACCCACGCAGGTAGACAGACAGTTCTGGTGGATTGAAGTGTCTGCTGATATATACAGATATATGTACGTTACCTTGGAAAGGTGTAGAAAGTGGGGATCTGGTGAAACTGAAGTTTCTTCCTCACTCCATTTTGTGTCCCTAAGGATACTACACATAGCTGCAAAGGTAAGGGAAAGATTGATGTGGTCTGCCTTTATTTCTACATATTTTTCTTTTACTCTTTTGCTCTAATTCTTCCGTTCTCAGCTGTTTGTTTGGTTCATTCCTTGCATGCCTCCTTTGTCATCCTCTCTTCTACCCTTTCTTGTTAAGGTAGTCAGATTTAACATTCATCCTGTTTCCTTTCTCTTTTTACTTCTTCCTTGCTACTCTCTGCTACTTTGGTTTTTTCACGGTTCATTTTAATTATATTTCTGACATCTGCTGGTACCAAAAATATATACTTTCAAAGCAAACAGAAGAGTTTATTTAGCCATAATATGAAGACTCTAGCTTTTCTCATTTTGCTCAGTCTATGTGCTGATGCTTTTTTTTTGCTTTGGGATCTTCAGCATCTGTATAAGTAATCAGATGCTGCACAGTCAGGCAAACAGTTACATATCTGTGTGTGCATAACCATACTGACAAAGGAAACCTTTTTATCTTTTTTTCTGTATCTTTTTGCCTCTCTCTGTTTGTTTTTAATGTCTCTGCACAGCAGCCAGTTTCTTCTCTGAAACATTTCATTAGCTGTTGCATGTTTCAGTGATATTCCCTGTCCGCCTCACTAATGTTTTTCAGCTGGTGCCTGCCACATGCGCACACACATATGATTACACTACACACATACTGTACTGAAAGCATGCTAAGCAGGCAGAGGATGGAGTAGAGAAGAAAAGCGAGGTATGTGTGTTGTTTTAGTTATGTGCAACTTTTGCACAGTTGGTTCTCAGACATTTGCATCTGTGGGTCTCGGCTTGACTTGTTACCCATCTTTCTCCAACGCAACACCCCCCTGTCTCTCTCTCTCTCTCTCTCTCTCTCTCTCTCTCTCTGCTGTCTGATTCTTGGTTAGTGTATACACTGTCTCGGTTGCTGCTCTGCTTGCCTGCCACAGAGCATTGGCCATGGTTGGTTGGCTAACTGCAGTCACACAACATTAAAAAGGCAAAGTGTTTCTGTTACATGGGGCAGTTTTACACATTGTATACGTGATGGATGTTGCATTCACTGACATTAAGAATGCCCTATTCATACTCAGGTTAAAGGGTACATTGTTATTCATACATACACACATTGTCCTCAGCGATATAGCTAACCCACGTTAACATACCGGCCCCCAGTCAGTGTGTGTTTATATTTGTATGTGTGGGTGTGTGTGTCAGTGTGATTTCCTTGGAGGTGCAGAGAGGTGAGTCATACCAGCTCACATACTGGTGGCTATTGGAGGCATTCACTGTAACAATGCCATGATGTGTGATTCACAAATTGACACTGTCTGATGAAACAGTGCATCTGCGAAGTGCCAACTTTTCAAGAAATGAAAACAAGCAAAACTACCTTTATTTAAGCTCAATACCTATCAGTGTTTGAGTTTGTATGGCAAGGCAGGTTTATTTGTATAGCACATTTCATATACAACAGCAATTTAAAATGCTCAACACAATGCACACAAATAGATAAAATATTAAAATGCATACACATACTGTAGATAACATGTTAGCATGGATGTTAGTATGGATTACCGTGAAAGTTGTGTACACATCATAATGGTGTCCAAAGCAC